TCCTGTTCTGTAGAGCGCTCTCTCTCATAGCAAACAGTTTGGTAATTCCTGCTACCATCGTTTACCAACTAGGAAATGTCATTACCTGACATTCTTTCCGTTAATCCTACCACATGAATCTCCACAATCCATGGCCTTACAGAATTGGAAAATAAGGGAGAAAAAAGGGATAGAAAATGAAATAAATTCTACAATTGCACTATCAGTGGTGGGTTTCACTTACCTTTGCTACCGGTTCGCTCACCCGCGTGCTTGCTATACTCGCGTGCGTGCCACTTCTGTGCATGCACAGAGCTTATTTAATGACATCCGGGTGGATGAGCGGAGCCTCCCACCGCCGCTACTATTGATTCGCCCGAACCGGGGTGAACTGATAGCAACCCACCACTGTGCGCTATTGTACAGTGAAGTTTACACTAGGCAATTGTCTCCTTTGGATTGATCTCACAAGTCATAAAGACAAGACATCATTTTTTTAAAGCAGTCTTTTGTTACCTTAAATAATCACATATAAAACCTTTACTGTTAAAACTAAACTTAAGTTTCTACAAGAACCATGAAAGTGTCTTAAAGGACTCTTCCATAGAAAAGTAAGAAGAAATAGAAAATCAAGCATAAAATCTCAATGCAAAATAGACAAATCGGAGTTCACACTCATTAATTAACTTCTATCCTATTCCTCTAGAGCATTATTTCTCAACCATCAAAGTCCACCCATCTTAAAGCTGCCAAGGTTGAGAAATGCTCTTTGAGAGAATAAATGAGCCTTGGAAAAGATGTTCCCCTGTTCAATATACAGCCTGGGAAATGCGTCTCCAGGCAAGTTCCAGCTGAAATCTAAGGGTGGAGCAGAATCTTGGCTTTCAGTTTGCCTTCCTGCTTAAGACACCTTCTTGCTCTTTTTTTTCTTGGAGCTTTTCCACAAGAACAAAAGTTCTTATTCTTGAATAGGACAAGAATGGAGCGAATCTCTTCCTGCCTACCTGAGCAGGAGGAAATTCTTCCCATTCCGGCTGCGGGTCTAGGACTTCTCCCCCCCCCTCTCTCTCCCTCTCCCTCTCCCTCTCTCTTCCTTCTCCTAAGAAGAACCTGAGGCCATTTTGCTACAGCACCTCCCCATCCCACCCCCACCCCTGCGATTGATTGCACCGTGGCTTCTGGCTGTCAGCATTGGCAGCTAGCCGATAGGCTGGCAGCTAACTGTCCTGGGCAGCGAAAAGCCCGGGACGAACTGTGTTTCAGTGAATGGGCTGTGCCGAAGCACATGGGATGGAGGGACCGTAGCCCATTGGCCAGGGCGAATGAATGGGGGGAGGCCAGCCAAGGAGAAAAGCTAGAGGTAAATGCGTGCAGGTGGGACCCTGGCGGAGAAACTGGCGTGGCCAACGGTAGGAGCTGAAAAGTCCCCTTCTGGCTGCCACTGTATCCCAAACTCAAGTTAGGCTCAGAAGAGATCGGTCAGCTGATGTAAGTGAACAAAACGAGTTCAGACTCACCTATAAAAATCAAAATGTTTTTTGAGAAAAGAGCAAGGAGAAAACATGGATTACAAAGATAATTAAGATTGAGCAGATTCACAGCCTTAACTATCTCAGAGTAATTTTTGACACCAAAGAATCATAGAAAGCATATCGTAATGATTACTCTCAGGCAATTTTAGAATCGTCTCCTATCATTAGACACTGCATTTTTACCAAGGATGCAATTAGTTCCTTTTGCTCTTTGAATCCCAAATAGCTCTGATCTTCCCTGGACTACATGTGAGAATCTGTGCCAGGAGGAAGGCAATGGAAGTGGTGCACATGAATTTTTTGAGAGCTATTCTTGCTACTTGAAGACATAGCCAATGCCACTGTCAAGGAGTTCAGGCAGGAATGCCTATACATGGGTTATAGTCTAGAGCCGTGATGGCGAACCTATGGCACGCATGCCCAAAGTGGCACAAGAAGCCATGTCGCCCGACACACGTGGCCTTGTCTGTTTGTCTTCTGGGTTTCTGGCGCGCATGCACATGTGACAATCAGCTGTCCCCCACACATGCGGCAGTGCCAAAAACCGATGTGTGCATGCTCGCCGGCCAGCTGATTGTTGGGTGCCCATGTGCGCCAGAACCCAGAAGTTCGGCTTTTACGGAGCGTGATCCCTTGGTGCGTGCGGCAGTGCTGAAAACCAGCCTGTGCATGCGGGCCGGCCAGCTGATCGCCAAAAGTGCTAGGATCCAGAATTTCAGCTTTTCCAGAACACGGCCCCAGCGAACATGACGTTTCCGCGCAACATTTTTGGCACTTGGTGCCGAAAAGATTCGCCATCACTGGCCTAGAGGATAATAATCAGTTACTGACTAAATACCTAGCTCTTCCCCACTGGATCCTTGTATTGATGGTGGATCATTCTCCTAGCAGGGGGGATGCTGTGGAGTCCAGCTTCCCAGATGTATTCATTTTTACCCTTTGTTATGCAAAGGTCATCCTTTCTGAAAGTTGGTAATAATGAAGTAACAGATGGAAGTCAGTAAGACGCCACATAACAGCAGAGCCTGAATTTCAAGTAGGCCTTGGATGCTGGCCAAATATCTAACCACTTTCACCTTCCCCAAGTTGAGTAATGGCTTCTTTCAGATATGTCTTCATGGGTTACCATCAGCACTTCTATTACGCAAATATTCTAAAACCCTCTCTACCTGACAAAAGTTTCTCTTTCTGGCTCAAAGCAGATTGAAACTATTGACTATATCATAATATTGACTACATCATAATTTCTACAAAGAAATTTGGAATTTTGACTGTTAAGGTGAATAGATACATGAAGGTCTTACTCTGATTCCAACTCTGGTATTACTAGCACAGTGCTAAGGTCTGTGTTGCTACTGTTAACATTTGTCATCAAATGTTTCAATTGTCCTTGTTTTATGTTTATATATGAATTATTGATTATAATAATAAAGGTAATATAATAAAGTATATGCTATATTATTCTCTCTCTCTCTCTCTCCCTCTCTCTCTCTCTCTCTCTCTCACTTTCTCTCTCTCTCCTGTTTAATCATATGAATGCCAAGAAATAATAGAAAAATCTGGCAGACTACAGGATATTGCTAGTGTACTTTTATTTAGAGACAGCACCATAATAAGGAAATTCTAAATAGCAAACATGCATGATTGAAGTCTTACAAAATTCTAAAGACAAAATGTTAAAATTTAAATATACAATACAAAATAAAAAATAATCTTATGCAGCAATACTAGTTTTCTATCTACCTATCTTGTGAAAGGGGCGCAGTGGCTCAGTGGCTAAGATGCTGAGCTTGTTGATCGAAAGGTCGGCAGTTCAGCAGTTCGAATCCCTAGTGCCGCATAATGGGGTGAGCTCCCGTTACTTGTCCCAACTTCTGCCAACCTAGCAGTTCAAAAGCACGTAAAAAATGCAAGTAGAAAAATAGGGACCACTTTTGGTGGGAAGGTAACAGCGTTCCGTGCGTCTTTGGCATTTAGTCATGCCGGCCACATGACCATGGAGACGTCTTCGGACAGCGCTGGCTCTTCGGCTTAGAAACAGAGTTGAGCACCGCCCCCTAGAGTCAGGAATGACTAGCACATATGTGTGAGGGGAACCTTTACCTTTACCTTATCTTGTCAAAGATAACCAATATCCACTCTCTCAGTCCTGGACTTCCCAAAAGATACCTAGAGATTCAGTTTGTTCTGATACTGGTGGAGAATGAGTCCCATTTTCTCTTCTTAGTGTCTCTGGTTTTTTTTTAAAGACAACCTGTTTTTCTCTCCAAGGGAAATGTGTGGGGTGGCTCAGTAGAAACTCTTAAGCCATCTGTTACTATGCTGCTCCCTATACAGTGCATATAAAAAGTGTACACACCTGTTTAAATACCAGGCTTTTGACATGTGAAAAACTCAGACCAAGAGAAATCACTTCAGATTTTTTTCCACCTTTAATATTACAGATAAGCTGTACAGTTCAGTCGAAAAACAAACTGAAATATTTTAGGGGGGAAAATTACAATAAAAATGTTGATAAATGTTTTGCAGGCCAAAACACTGTCCCTGACAAAAGGACATTTTTTTCCCCTCGTGCCATCAATCTGCACCAAGAGCTTCTCCATTGGAGACAAATTCCTTGTGTGTCTAATCATACTTGGCCAAATAAAGTATTGTATTCTGGCTATGAGAATGGTGAGGGAACTGGAAACCAAGTCCCAGAGAAATTTTTTTTATTTTTTTTTTAAATTTGATTTATATGCCGCCCTTCTCTGGAGACTCAGGGCGGCTTACAATGCGTTAAGCAATAGCCTTCATACTTTTGTATATTTATACAAAGTCAGCTTATTGCCCCCACAAACTGGCTCCTCATTTCACCTACCTTAAAAAGGATGGAAGGCTGAGTCAACCTTGAGCCTTGGAGAAATTTGAACAAGCAGTAAATTGCAGGCAGCTGTGTTAATAACAGGATGCTTAGACCACTGTACCAGCAAGGCTCAATCAATTATTATTAAATGGATCAGTTATACCTAGCCTATAGAAGAGAGGACTGAGGCCAGAGACAAGCAAACTTCAGATGTCTTAGTATGGGTTGTTGTATAGAGAAGGAAATGACTTTGTCTTTTGTTGTTTTTAGAGAGGATCAAATGTCTGAAATACTTTCAGCGGATCCAGCATTAACCAAGAGTTAGATTAGATAATTTCTGAGGTCTAAGAAACTCTTAAGATTCTATAATTCTGTTAAATGATTTAACTGATAGCAGTGTAACAGCTGCCCTTTGTCTAAAATTGTCAGCAGAATTTGATTTGAACTACTTGGATAGAAGGACCAGATAGAAAATTAAAAGATCTTATTTTTTTCCTGATTCTGTATGCTACTTACAGTTTGCATTTTTGTAAAATGCATAAAAACAAATAGCACCTTAGCAATATTTTAAGTTGCTAAGTATAATTATTCATTTTTCTAATCTGTAGAAACTAAAATGGTTGTTTTGCATTTTTCATTCTTAGGTGCGGTGGATGATGTATTGGATTGTGTTTGCTCTTTATACGTTTACTGAAACATTAACTGACCTCTTGATCTCTTGGTAAGATCCGTACAGTTGCAAAGCATGATGATTTGTTTATGTTTTCATGTATCACCATGTCCATTGTTGGTAGTTGATACTGTTTAAAAGCTTGTTAGCTGGATTCTAGGGAAGGTGGAATTACAAGAATATTATTTATATGTATATAAAGCATATCTGAAATATGTGAAAAATTACCTAACTTAACCTGAAACTTAGATTAATTAGAAGGAATATGCCTATTTCTTTGTATCATATAACCACATTATGAATTCTAACTTATATTTTACAGGTTTCCATTATATTATGAACTGAAGATTGCTTTTGTTATTTGGTTGCTGTCTCCATATACAAGAGGGGCAAGTTTAATATACAGGAAGTTCCTTCATCCTCTCCTTTCTTCGAAAGAAAGAGTAAGCCTCCCTCCTGCTGTGGATATTTTAGAAAATAAATTGGCATTAAGTGGTAGTGGGGATGAAGAATGACATTACTATCTTGTGCTTTGTGCCAAAATAGGATGTAATAGATTGCCAATATCAGATTAAATTAATATCTGTGCTACACATATTTTTCTTCCTAGGAGATTGATGAGTACATTGTGCAAGCCAAAGAACGTGGTTATGAAACAATGGTGAACTTTGGTAAACAAGGCTTAAACTTAGCTGCTACTGCTGCAGTGACTGCAGCTGTAAAGGTAAACAGTGCTGCATGTTATGTATTTACTACTTAGCATAAAATGGGTGAGAGGGGATGTGTGTTCAAAAAGGTAAAAGGTGAAAAGCTGGATAACCTTTTTCTAACAGCATATTCTAAAAAGTATGTTCTCTCATACAAGAGTTGACTTTTTAAACAGTGAAGATGACTCTTTTTTCTCTCTTGTTGCTTTTCTTGGTGGTAAATGACATTCCACAGGATTTCTGACTTCTTTCTGCTGTTCTTCAATCAAGTTGAGGTAAATGTTCATGGAAGGTTAAAGCATGAAACAGTGATCAGTATGGTTGACTGGGATATTAATATGATTCCCTGATGAATTCAAATTTGTAAGGAAAAAAAATTAAATTGATGAACTTGAATTTAACTGCTGATGCTTACGGCTTTCTGATACTAGTTGGCAGCCAAATTGGGCTTTTCACATGGATTCAGACATGTTCCTAATTATCTGTCATTTGCCTAAAATACGAGCTATCTCCATTTTTTACATTCAGAATAGTTATTGAGTATAATGAGACCACAGTGACAAAATATTATACAAAGAGAAGCTGCATGAGCATATGCTTTTACAATAACTTTGAATGGAAAATACAGTTTGTTCTACAATTAGAATTTGTACCTGATAGCAAAATACCGTATATGCATCATACATCAGGGCTATCCTTTATCATTTTTTTGAAATAATTTTATCAAAGATTACGAATTGAAATAAAAACTAATATACTAATAAAATATAAAATAACAAATAAAATGTGTGAAAAAGAAAAAAATAACTTCATCTGAAGTATAAACAATTTTAGTAACTTATCACCCTCTCTTAAGATATAACATATTCTCTCTTTACCCCTTGTCTCATCTCTTAGCTAAAAACAAAATCCAAAATCTTTGTCATTCATTTCTTATCAGCAAAAGTCCAGAGATTATTATCCTTTTTAATCTAGGACCACCCTTCATCATTGATGTACATAGAACGAAACTGGGGAGTGGTCTAACTGATCTAGGTATCAGTAGAAGTTGCCAAGCAGTTTCTATAAAGTAGCAGCGATCGCTTTAGTCAGTGTAAAATGCAACATTTGTAAAATGTTTGTGATTATTGAGACCACCAGTGGAATATTCTCTGGGGACTCAAGTCCCCAAAGATATAAGCTATAGCGGCTTATTCCTAGGAATTCTCTTCTGATAAATACTCTGCAGAATTTGCCCATTAAGGTGAGAAAGGCAGTGGGAAATAGGGACCTAGGCATGTAAGTTGCATAATTAAACTTCCATGTTTCCTGAAACTGCAGTTTAGATGTCTGCTTTCCTTCAGATTATATTACTTTAAATGCTAATCTGATCAATGAAACTATGTTTTTCCCATAAAATATTAACATTATTCTCAGTTCTTCAGAATTCCGTTTATTGTGAAGATATACGTTTACACAAGTTGTCTGATATAGGGGCGGGTTTCAAAACCTGTCACTACCTGTTTGCTCGTGGGCGCTTGTGCGCTCGAATGCTCGAATGCGCTCGTGGGTGCTCATGCGCATATGGGCACTCATACGCACATGTGACGCTTCTGTACATGCGCAGAAGCATCTGGGCACGTGGGCGGAGCCTCCCCCCGCCACCACTGCTACCAGTTCGCCCGATCCGGGGCGAACTGGTAGCAACCCACCACTGGTCTGATAGCAATTTCTGCTAGAGGAGACTAGTAACAAGTTGCTGAGCATGTTACCATTGCTTAAAAAGGAAGCAAGAACCAGGATTTTTTATGGCTTTAAACCGCTATTGATAGAAGCAGCCAGATTCTAATGCTGATCAGATCACAAACAGCTGTGCAGTAGTTTAGCTTCTTTTAACGGTAGATGGAATTATTTCATCTTGCTTGTCTATCTTATGTGAGATTTTCAGCAATTCGGTTTACTACGAGCATTTCCATGATAAGAAATCTCAATTTTGTAATGCCAGAGTATTCCACATCACATTATTCATGCTGACCAAACCCATGTTTATTCGTTTTATTCTATTTTTCTCATGGTGAAATTGTGAAACTGATTTTCAGTTTCAGCATCTATCTCCGGAAAGATGCAGACAATTGAATAGTTTGTTTCACTTACATCCTTAAATTGAGCAGCAACTAAATTAAGAGCCCCAGAGGACTTGGGTGAGATTCAGCTATATCATTAATTCAAACATTGTCTGGCTTTCTTGCTTGTAGTTTAGTGTGTTTGTGTAAATTTAGCCAATTGTGATATACTCAGATACTATGAGTAAACAAATCAAGGCTTAGTGTGTGATATAGGTCACAAAGCCCCTAATTGTCTAACCCCAAAGGACCTCCTAAGATAAACCTGAGTAGTCCGTGACTTATTCCCATTGCTGTTTCGCAGTCACTGGGGGCATTCAGTATACTAACAGCAGAATTCTTCTGTTATTCATCTGCCGCTATTTATGTCACCATCTGAATCCCTTAACGTCTTACGGATTAGAGCTGATAAAAATGACATGACCCTGGCATTCCTGCGATTATAGTAGATAAACCTAGAGTTTCCTAAGGCAAGTATTCTAATCTTGCTAACCTGTGATCACTGCAGCCCTTTCCTGAAATGTCTTGAATCTTAACTTCCTGAAATAAAGGCAGGTTCCTTCTTTCAAATGATGTGGCTTGTTTATGGTTTCCAGTTGGTGCTTTGCCTGCTGCGGAAACAGTTCATTTCCTTTGCTTCAAACAGGGTGACCTCCAGAGATTAGAGCTGTCAGAACAACTTCTCATTTTGCTTTCTTACAAAATACTTTAAATGTGTGCATGTTTACCTAATAATTACAATTGCTAATATTAGCTCTTTTTTCTCAAGAACAAAGATACAAGAGTCAGCATTTGTGCTATGGATTAGAGCTGTATTTAGATGACCATATACCTCTAATAAGTACTGTTATTTGAACAGTTAGACATGTTTTTTAAAAAATTAAATGACTCCATTCAGCCCTTCACATCTGGGACAGGGTTGGTATTCACTTACTTTCCCTACCAGTTCGCAAATGTGAGTGCACGCACCCAGTCCACGCATGCGCCCTGCCTTCAGTGCATGTGCTTTGCTGGCAGACATGCCTTCTGTGCATGTGCCCGGCCTCAAAAACGTGCCTAAATTGGATGACATACAGCCGGGGCGGGTGGACAGACCCACCTGTGATTTCCGCTACCATTTCGGGCGAATCGGTCCGAACCGGCTGAATACCACCTCTGATCTGGGATTCTATTAAACCAAATTTATTTCAGGCAGAATTGAGAGGATGGCGAATAATACTAGTGTATAAATTTATCAAGACAGGCTTTTAATATGGTGCTCAGACTTTACAGAATAAACATTGAAAGAATCATAATTTGAATAAGGCTCAATTTACGCACTAAATTATGGACTTAGTAGCTGAATTTAATTAATTTTGGAGGGTATTAAATTAACCTTTACAGAGGAAAGAGACGAGGGCTGTGTAGGATAGGTGAAATGCTCCTGTTTCGGACTGGATCGCCCGATCCGGTAGTGATGGCTGTGGGTGGTTCAGAGAACCGGTAGCAAAAATCCCTGCCCCCCCCCCCCCATGACCAGCTGAGCCATGCAATCATCAGAGGCTTTTTTTAAAAAAAAAATTAGAAGCATTTTTTTCTACAACCTCTTCAGCCGAAAAAATGCTTTTAAAAGTAAAAAAAAAGCCTCTGATGATTGCGCGACTCAGCTGGGATCGAAGAGGTTGTAAAATAATGCTTTTAAAAGCCTCTGACGATCCCAGCTGAGTTGCCTGATCGGCAGAGGCTTTTAAAAGCATTTTTTTACAGCCGAAGAGGTTGTAGAAAAAATGGTTTTAAAAGTAAAAAAAAAAAAAGTTTGCCACGCCCACTCAGTCACATTACCCCACCACCACCACCAAGCCACGCCCACAGAACTGGTAGTAACAAATTTTACATTTCACCACTGGATAGGAAGGAAACAGTTCTGAATTATCACCCAACAGCTGTTTACAGTCATAAATCTAGAAACACTTACATAGAATTTCAGTTAAATTGTAACCTGCAAAAAAGCCTAGCTTAATATTGATGGGAATTGACATTTGCAAACAAGTTGTATTTTAAATTGCTTACAAAGAGACAAGTGAGATCACACAGGTGCTCTGGAAGCTGCCCAAGCCAGACCCAACATTAACAGGCATCTTCTTGGGACTCACTCAGAAGCTCTTTCAGTTGCTGAGAAGACTCTCCCTTAATACATACAATAGCGGCCAAAATTGTGGAAAACTTTTGGGAAAACTGTATTTTCTAAAACTAGCTAATAACACCACTTTTTTTTTTTTGAGTAGTACTATAAAATTATATATCAATGGAAAGATAATTTAATCAAGAATGTAATGCAAAAACTTTGATGAAGGATTTGCTATTAGAATAGCAGTTACAGTATAAAGAAGAAATATGAATCACATAGAAAAAAACGAGTTATACAAAAATGATCACCATGTCAGTTAATACTTAGTTGGGTAACCTGTAGCATGAATTACGGCCTTACAACGTCTTCCCATGGGGTGAACCAAGTCTTTGAGTTCTGCAGCTGTTATAATGTGAAACCAAGATTGAGTGATTGCTTCTATTAACTGGGTTTTATTGCTGGGTCGTTTCTGACTAACAAGTTTCTTTAGGCAGCTCCATAGATTTTCAGTTGGGTTAAGGTCTGGGCTATTCCCAGACCTTAACCCAGAAACTCCCCCCCCTCCAAGAAAAAAGTGGCGTTATTAGCCATCAAACCTCAAAAATACACTTTTCCCAAAAGGTTCCCACAATTTTTGCCACTACTGTACAGCAACCTTACACCAACTTGCCCACCTGCAATTACGTTCCTTGCAGAGCTGCTTGAAGACGCTCCCACACTAATACTGTTTTGTAGCTTGTTCCCATGATTTTATTAGCACTCTGTATTATTGCCGCTTCATGCCTCCAAGGGAGTCTTTTACATCATTTCTTTCTTTAACTGTAGCTGCTAGCACGTTCATTTATATTAGGCTTAGGAGTCTTTTCTTTTTTTAAATGCAGTGACCCAGGCTTATTCAGTTATATAACTTGGCTCAAACAAACAAACAAACAAAAAACAGGTGTCATTTTGGGCTCACTATGTTGTACGAAAAAAAAAACAGGGACGCTGTGGTTCAGTGGCTAAGACGCTAGCTTGTCGATCAAAAGGTTGGCAGTTCAGTGGTTCGAATCTCTAGTGCCGCATAACGGAGTAAGCTCCCGTTACTTGTCCCAGCTTCTGCCAACCTAGCAGTTCGACAGCACGTAAAAAATGCAAATATAAAAATAGGGACCACTTTTGGTGGGAAGGTAACAGCGTTCCGTGTGCCTTTGGCGTTTAGTCATTCTAGCCACATGACCACAGAGACGTCTTCAGACAGCGCTGGCTCTTCGGCTTTGAAACGGAGATGAGCACCACCCCCTAGAGTCGGGAACAACTAGCACATATGTGCGAGGGGAACCTTTACCTTTACCTTTACTTTGGGTTGTAATAAACCCAGCTGTTACATTTGGAAACTGGAACCTATTGTAGTGTATTGTTCAGGCTTAAACTTTTTGGTTTTTTAAAATCACGGTTAAGCAAAATGGATGAATATATGTGAATCCAGAGTAATAAACCGTAGACTCTGGATTCACATTATACTCATCCATTTTGCTTAATTGTGATTTTTAAAAAATCAGAAATTTTAAGTGATTTTCCTAAATTATTACAATATCAGCTTAAAATCTACTAATCATTAAATCAGAAATACAAGAATTATGGTATTTTTTTCTTTGCATGTGCCTTGTTTTTATTCCATGCATAGTGTTCTTGTACCATTTTAAACTATATAATACATAAGGATTGGAATAAAATTCATTGTGCCATCAGGAGTTTATTGTAAGTGTCTAACATTATCCTAGGACATACTGCTATATTTTTTTAACACATATTTATGTTAGTCACATTTTTTCCCCACTTTGCAATAGAATCTGCCTGTCCAGAAAATATAGGTGACACTGCATTATTAGTCATTCTCTCATATTTGGGAGGAAATAAACTTCTGTTTGTTTGTTTGTTTATATTCATTTATGCTTATTCATCTATTTAATGTTTATGCCACCCATTTACTAAAATTTTATGCCATCCAACTCTCCCGCAAAGTGACATTTTTTGATGTTATATTAGATAAAGATAATAAATTTCGTAGTGCAGTTTGAATTAAGCAATTATGCTAAACATAGTTCTTAATCTAACATTTGAAAATTTTGTCAATTGGATGCTAAAGGTAAGTAACTTTTATCATTTGGTGCAATGTATTTTGCATTGCTATTGGAAACTGATTGATATCCTGTTAGAAACTGAGACTTTATTAAAGTCCAATACAGTCATGTGAAAAAGTACCATATATATTCACATATAAGGTTGACTCTCACATTTTTAACCAAAATGCCATGAAAAATGTGCCACCTGCAGATAAGCTGACTCATATTTTATCTGCAGATGGGCTTATGTGCAAATACATACAAGATACAGGTAGTCCTTGTTTAATGTCCATTTGTTCAGTGACCTTTCAAAGTCATAACAGTACTGAAAAAATGGAATTTGAGACCATTTCTTAAACTTGAGACTTTGGGTCATACGATAAAAATTTGGCCCTGCTTGCATTTATGACCTGGTGCTGTGCCATGGGTGCTTGCCAGCCCACATTCCCTTGTCTCCGCCTGCAGTAGTCGCTTGCCTGCCACGGCATCCTAGCTCATGCCTGAAGTGCAGGAAACTCTGCTGCCACTAGTCACAAAAGAAAACACAGTCAACATACATTCTCTACTTAGGCAAAGGCAGCGCTTCACTCCATAGAGGACATTGAACCATCAATACCACACTGTAGTAGTAAAGATGCTCTGCCTCGCAGAGGGTGTGACTTGTTTGGTTTCCAAGCAGTGGTGGGTTTCTACCACCGGTTTGTCGCATGAGTGCACACTCACTTTGTGCATGTGTGCACCTTCCATGCATGTGTCCGGCTTTATGCGCATGCGCATTGCTCACGTGTACACCTTCCACGCATGCGCCGGGCCTCAAAAACATGGCTAAATAGGACGGCATAGTGCCAGGGCGGGTGGGCAGGCCCACCCGCGATCTCCGCTACCGGTTTGCCCAAATCGGTACGAACCGGCTGAATACCACCTCTGCTTTCAAGGTAATGATGGGTGTATCGAGCATGGGGGAGGGGCAAAGTGTGCTGTTGCTCTTTCAGGGTCTGATGGGTAGCTACTATTGGCTGTGTTTTCTTTTCCTTTTTCCTGTCCTTTAAAAAAAAAAAAGGTGCATGCCCAGGCGACAATTGGGTACTTCTCTTACTCTTTTAATTTAAAGTGATATACCCTTTTTCTGCAAAGCTCAGATTACCTGGTTTCTACACCTTTCCCCACCCCATTTATTCTGACAAATATTGGACGGAGAATTAGATTACAATAAGATAGAGAGTTGTTGGCTCATGCTTACTCAGCAAGCTTCATGGCAAAAGAAGGAATACAATTGTTTTTTCTTCCCGGTGAACTCCATATAGTATGTCATTCTTAAAGCAGAGACCTGGTTGCATAGGATTTGAAGACCCATCGTTTTTAGGCATGCTGGAAAGGAATTCTGGCTGGCCAGGGCAATTCTTTGCACCATGCCATCCCTTATTCCATCTCTTTGCTGGTCTAAACGATCCATCATGTTGTGGTTTGTCCTGCAGCAGCGATCCTTCCACATCAGCCGTTTGTAGTAAGGATTGTTCCGGCCAGTAATGATATGTGACAAGGCGTAATGCAAAGGATCATCCTGGCTGGCAGGGTCTTGGCCCCTTCTCTTCCTGGCAGGGCAGCAGTCATAAGTTGAGGACTACCTGTATATGGGTATTTTAAAAAATATTGCTGAATGTATTTGGGTACAAGCAGGGGTGCTATTCAGCAGGTTCTGGAGAACTGGTAGCGGAAATTTTGAGTAGTTCGGAGAACTGACAAATACCACCACTGGCTGGCCCCAGAGTGGATGGGAATGGAGTTTTTGCAATATCCTTCCCCCAGGAGTGGGGAGGGAATGGGGATTTTGCAGTATCCTTCCCCTGGAGTGGGGTGGGATTAGAGATTTTGCAGTATCCTTCCCCTGCCATGCCCACCAAGCCACACCACGCCCACCAAGCCATGTCCACAGAAACGGTAGTAAAAAAATTTGAATTCCACCACTGGGTACAAGCCCATCTTTGGATTAGCTGATCCAATTTTTGGGATGTATTTTGGCACCTAAAACTCTCAGCTGTAACTGGTGTGTGATAATTATGATATCTCCTTTTATCAATATTGTTGAAATGAAGATCTAATAGCTGTATGTTAAAATATGTTAAGAAGTCAAGACAAAAATTTCAGTGAGGTACACTCTTTTTCACGTGACTGTATATCAGTTTGGAGAGAGGATTCCTTCCTCCCATTGAATGACATCTCATTTTTCCTCTTCAATGCTACAGGGTCAAGGAGCAATAACAGAGAAGCTGCGGAGTTTCAGCATGCATGACCTCACAGCAATACCAGATGATGAGCCAATAGGACAAAGGCACTATCAGACTTTGCCTGGTACCAAAAAGAAAAGCAAGGGTTTGAATCCCAATGAACCCTTAGGTTGGTATATTATTAAGTTGGGCTAGTTTTGCTTTTCTAGGTTTTGTATACCGTATTTTTCAGACTATAAGACACACTTTTTTGTCTCCCAAAAGGGGGTGAAAATGTCTGTGCGTCTTATAGACCAAATATTGCCAAAGCCCTGCCCACCTGCCAGCCGTTTTTTGCCTCCGCATGGCCTATTTTCGGGCCTTTTTTCAGCCTTTCTTAGGCCATTTTTCAGCCTGTTTTCCGGGCTTTTTTCAGCCATTTTCGAGGCTTTTTTGGCCCACTTTTTCAAAAAATGGGTTGAAAAAAACCTAAAATACGAGCTGAAAAAAGCCTTGAAAATGGGCTGAAAAAAGCCCTGAAAACGGGCAAAAAAAAAAAAGACCTAGAAAATGGGCCAAAAAAAGCCCTGAAAAAAGGCTGAAAAAGGCCCGGAAAAAGGGAGGCCAAAAACTTTTTGTTTTCCTCTTCTAAATTTAGGTCCGTGTTATAGTCAGGTGTATCTTATAGTCTCAAAAATATGGTAAGCAGTGGTGGATGACCCTCCATTGAAGTCAGATCACCAGAGCCACTGTTCCCTCTCTTGAAACTTGGAATGTTGACTCTATGGGATTTGCTGCCAGAGTTTCAAAGAAAATTCCCTCAAAGGCTCTTGTAGGCCTTGCTTTTTACTGCCTGCCTCCAAAATCATCAGCTTGGGGTATAGGCATGGAATTGATATTATTGCTTCAAAGTGTTTTTCTCAGGGGTGCTATTCAGCAGGTTGTGACAGATTCTGGAGAACCGGTAGCGGAAATTTTGAGTAGTTCGGAGAACTGGAAAATACCACCTCTGGCTGGTCCCAGAGTGGGGTGGGAATGGAGATTTTGCAGTATCCTTCCCCTGCCACACCCACCAAGCCACGCCCACAGAACAGGTAGTAAAAAAAATTGAATTCCACCACTGGTTTTTCTAAATGAGTAATGTAACCCTACACAAAGAGGTTAATCTCTCCAGTCCTTCATGAATTTTCCCCACCTACTTAATTTACACAAACCAGTTTTCCTTTATTTTCACTTTGGCCAGATCATTTACTATCACAGGTATGGATGAAAACAAGTGTTTTCTGGGTCTTTTTAGTGCTGCATTTTACCTTCAAGCATATAGAATAGTTACAAATTTTGTATAGCTATCATTTTGAGGAGGGGAAATTGCCTCATTTTCTTAAAAATTTTTAAGCCTTAAATATAAAGCTTGAAACATTTGAATGTTGTTTTTTAAGGTAGGAAATGATAAATCAGTAAAACAGTATTTTGAATTTTGGTTTTACCCCTCAGGTTATGGTATTCCAGTAAAAAAGGATTCTGAAGATGATAAAACAGATGAAGAGAGGGAAGGGACATATTCAGAAGACGAGATGTTTGCTCAGAGAGGTCTCCGTCGAACACAAAGTATGAAATCGGTAAAAACGATAAAAGGACGCAAAGAGGCAAGTATATCTGTTCTTGGCAGTATGAAATGCTATAAATAAAAAAGTGGAAATCATTATCGTATTTTTCAGACTATAAGACAAACTTTTTTGTCTCCCAAAAGGGGGTGAAAATATCTGTGCATCTTATAGACCAAATATTGCTGAAGCCCCGCCCACCTGCCAGCCTTTTTTTGGCCCGTTTTTGAGGCTTTTTTTGGCCCGTTTTTTCAGAAATTTTGAGTAGTTTGGAGAACCAGCAAATACCACCTCTGGCTGGCCCCAGAGTGGGGTGGGAATGGAGATTTTGCAGTATCCTTCCCCTGCCATGCCTACCAAGCTATACCCACAGAACCGGTAGTAAAAAAAATTGAATTCCACCACTGCCGCCCACCCATAAGACCAACTGCAAGGATACTGCAACTGCCCCCACCTGCCTTTCTTTACTTCCATTCTGCCCCACTGCATCCCAGAGAGCTTGGGGCTCCTTCCCACTCCATCACATTTTGCTTTCCTTACCTCTTCCAAATATTGTCTTTCTGAAAGCGGGTCCCATTGATGCAACGCACAGCCTTCCTACAGAGGCTGCCTTGTGACATTCTGGAGGGGAGTGACATTCTACCGGTAGCTATCTTTCAAAGGGTGCAGTTTTCCAAATCACACTTTGGGAAACTTGGCCCTTCTGATAGATTGTGAGAATGGTGCCTGTTTCCAGAATGGTACAACGCGGTCTATGTAGGAAGGCCACTTGTCACATTGGCTAGGTGCTCTTTTGGGAGAGGCAATGTTTGGAAGAGGTAAGTGGAAGATAGATGGAGGACGGGAGGAGGCCCAAGTCTATGGGATCTGGTGAGGAGATAAGCTGTACAGGGGGTGCCTCGGGGTAGTGGGAGGTCCTGGTACAAGCAACATGTGAGATGGAGATGGTGTAGTGTCAGAAGTGGTATTCAGCCAATTCTGACCGATTCTGCAGAACCGGTAGTGGAAATTTTGAGTAGTTCAGAGAACTGGCAAATACCACCTCTGGCTGGCCCCGCCCCCAATTCACTGCCTCCTGAGGCTCAGCTGATCGAGTCTCAGTTGATCAGCTGGGTCTTCTTTTGTTGTCCTGCACAGGAGAATGGAGCTGGAAAGCAGGTTGGTGGGGTAGGGAGGGAATGGGGATTTTGCAGTATCTTTCCCCTGGAGTGGGGTGAGAATGGACATTTTGCAGTATCCTTCCCCTGCCACGCCCACCAAGCCACGCCCACAGAACCAGTAGTAAAAAAATTTGAATCCCATCACTGTGTAGTATGATTACTTGTGTATCCCCTTATAATATCTGTGCCTATGGTATTAGTCATTTTGGTGAACTGCGTGCAGATGTGAAATGGATTGCATTCTGTTACAGGTTGCTATTTGTCTTTACTCATATCCTCATGCTGGATGCCATTTCCTCCCCTACCCATCAGGAAATAGCAACCAACATCAGATTTTTTTGTATTAGAAATTGTGTTTTGGATATCTTGAAATCTTTTACAACATTCTTTATTTGTTCCAGGTGCGATACGGCTCACTAAAATACAAAGTGAAGAGAAGGCCTCAAGTATACTTCTAATCTACACAGTTCAGCTAAAAGCAAACATCTGTGCTAATCGTTTTCTGAAGGCCTGCTGTTTACGCTCTTCCCATTCTCTGAGAAACAGCTGGCATCTATGGATTCCTGTTCTCAGCACAGAGCTTTATTTCAGTCACACAAGAGAAAGGAAAAGACCACCTGGATGCATATTATGCTTTGGTTTCACAACTACCAAAAATTAAATTATATTTTGTTTCTTTTGAGAGAGGAACATATTTAGCCAATTTTTACTAAATGAAACTTTTGTGAATCTGAATAGCTCTTTAGATTTCTGGGCTTCATGAATGAAATAATTTCATGACAGGTTCTTAATTGTGGCTTCAATAGCTGAGTGTTTTAAATGTTAGCTGATGTCCAGCGCTTAATAACAATGACACATCTGTAGAATTTCTGTACTATATTGGGCATCTTGTGGTTGAAGACATTGTATTTTTAAATTCCTGCAGTTGTCCAAGTCGAGAGCATGAAAAAATGGAAGAACACGGGGATATTTTGGAAATAATCCTCTGAATGGTTTGGATCCAAAGAGCCGTTTTAAGGTCATGGAAATGGGTTGCACCACCTCACCTCATAAAACCAGCCATTTTCATTTCATTTAGAAATTCCTCTCAATGCCCTGTGGCATGAAGACACTGTTGGGTTTGTTTGCTTCTATGCGGCTATTGTATTGTTTGCTGTAATGGTTTGAGTTAGCCTGTGCATTTAGCATAGCTGATGATGAAAATCATAGTTGTCTGTTTCTGTACACTCAGCAATTTATATTCATTCATTCCTTCCATCCATCTATCCATCCATCCAAATAGGTTCTGCACCCGTAGGGATCTGCTGTCCAGATTTTCATGCAAAGACAGCATTCCTTGTAGATGCCAAGAATTCAAGCTTGAAACTTCTGTATGCAAAATATTGTTCTACTAATTAATATTATCTTTTTTTATCAACTGCTCCTTATGAGTGTACTGAAACAGGTTAAAGGATTTCAAAGGTATCCTTCGAAATTGAATTCAGTTTGTCTATTATATGTAAAAAGGAATAGGAATATGTTGGATAGGAAAAAAAATCAGATTCTGCAGTCAAATGTTTTATCGTGTATTGCACCAATTTAATATGAAAACTAATATCTAACCAGCACTTTTCAAAAAAAATATTTTTTTCAAAAAAAATATTTTTTGTGGGTGTTTTCAGAAATCTTACACATTTGTGTGTGTGTGTGTGTGTTGTTTTTTTTTAAGTGTTATTTGGGTGACTTCTTTATAACAGAACCGAAAGGTTCTTATTTGGGCTGTGCTTAAATGTGTAAGGGATAGGTGAAAACTAGAGTACTTCAGTTGTTTGATTAGTAGGCTAGGAAAAACCCTACTCTGTACAGATGACATTGACTGCTTACTTCATCCTTTTCTCACAGCAAAATCTGGAATTCTTTTAAAGACATGCATGTATTTAAAGGTCTGATTTTGAAGTGGTAGTTTGGAAAACATGGCTCTTTGCTAGTTTCTTGAAAAATGACTTGCCTTTGCTGGTCAAGAAAGTCTTCCTATCTTTTAGGATAACATGCTTTAGTATTGCATCTGGATGTAAAAAATAATGTCAAGTGCTTTTTAAATAGTATTTAACAATTAATGAAATGAAGTTGAGAGTTTTTGGCTTATCATAGCTATAAATCCTAGCAACATTTTAAAAAGAATACTTGAAAAAAAATGGATTTTTTTTCACCGGAAACTAAGCTTTAAGCAAAGATAAGTAAATCCCAAGGGAAGATGAAGTTTTTGCAAAAAACTTGCAAAAAAATAATAATATTCAGAAGAAGAAACTTGCAAAAAAATAATAATATTCAGGCAAAATATATACTGTTCTCTGGAGAAGAGCTAACAATTCAGTGTGCAGTCCTGGAGGTTTATCCAATATAAGAAAGTAAATTATAGTTTCTATATTATTTTGGGCATCCGAAATAGATTCTATCTTAAAAAGAGAGCCTGCTTTTACATTTCATTGTATTTATTAGTGTTATGTTGAGTACAGAAAGAATAGAATGTGATTAAAAGGCATACAGTATGTCCTAGCATTTACCTTTCACAGGTTTTCCCTTACTGTGTCTAGACCTTTGATTGGTAAACTTTGTATTAGATAAGAAAGAGAACATTCATCTTAATTTCATGTTTCCTTTAAGGACATTTGTCACTTTATATAGAAAATCTCACAGTACTAAGTCAGACCAATAGTCCTCTTGCCTCTTCCACCAGATCAGACCAGATCTAAACACTTTTTAATTTGGAATGTTAGGCTTTAAATAAAATATCAAGGTCTTATCAAATAAATTTGATTTGGCAGTGAAAAAGATAGGTTATCCATGTTATTGTAGAAGATACTTCAGAAGCTTCAGGGAATAAAGTTTCCTCTCTAGAAGCCAGAGAGGCATGGCTGGTGATACTGTCAGGGCTATGTTTTGTGAGCATTTTGCATTTCCTTGTGAAGTGTTAAAAGCTGAAAATTTGTTACTCCATCCATTTTTTAAATAATCCTGTTTCTGTGGCTGTGGGTGAGTTTTAAATGGTGCAGTAGTTTCTTTAAATTTCAGTCTTAAATGACAAGGTAAAGTAAGATAATTATTCACTCCTTAAACATCCTTCCCTTAGGAACTGAAAATGGAGCAGAGAATGCCACGTGTGGCCTGCAGATTGCCCACCTTTCACACATCTGGTGTTGCCAGAGTAGTAGGTACTTATGTTTCTGTCTCTAGTGCTGAGAAGTTCTAGCCTGCATAGTCAATATTCAGGGATAATAAGCATTGCAACCTCAAACATCTGGACTTCACTTAGGACTCACTTTTGTGCTCCCCCCCCCAAAAAAAGTAATGTATAAAGTAGAAACCTTTTTAATATGGGTGTACCTTAAGGAAATATTTTGCTCTACAAATTCCCACAGCATAGGCCAGTGATGGTGAACCTTTTCGGCACTGAGTGCCCAAACCGGAACGTGCATGCTGCAGCCCTGGAAACTTGAAGACCAGCTGGCCGGGGCGCATGCGCACGCCAGCCAGCTGGTCTTTGCGTGTGCTGGAGCACCAGAAACCTGAAGAGCAGCTGGCGACGGCGTACCTGCCCACAGAGAAGGCTCTGTGTGCCACTTCTGGCATGAGTGCCATAGGTTCGCCATCACAGGCATAGGCATTAAGGCATCAAACAACTTAGGACTTGTTCCCATGAAACTAAAGTAGTATATTCAAAATAGGTATATTTCAGTGAGCTAAATGCCATCCGACCTATTTTTAGCTTCATGGCAAGATAAATTCTAAAATATAATGTAATTGTTATACCATACTGATTTACCTGCTTTAACCAAGATACAGGGCTTCACTAGGTCAATGTATTAGCAAGTATTATGCAAAAAATATACAAAGGGAACAATGGACTTGCTATTTAGTAATTTTTAACAAATGCAATTTCAATATTTGGATTCATAATTGTAAAGGCTAGAGCTAACTTTTCTATCTGTAATAATTGACTGTAAACTTGTTTATGTATTTGTAGTACAAAGATAGGTCTTTTTCTAAAATTTTGTACTGATACTACTGTATCTTCATAACTGCTATTTTTGAAGATGCGAACAAAGGCTTATATTTTAAAAATGTTACTTAATAAAATGAGTATTTTCCAGTGGGTTTGTCCTGTCTCATTTCTATGTAATGCAAACTAATAGTGGTAAATAAACTGATAGCATTTAATCACATTAAGAATAATGACAAATTGGAATCTTGCAGTTTGAATCCCACATGCTTATCTGGGAATAATTTTTACTGAAGACCAAAGAACTTCTAAAGAAAAGTACAGATAGTCCTTGACTTAAGATCATTTAATTAGTTTTCAAAGTTACAATGGTCTCAGAAAAAGTTATGTATGACTTGTCCTCACACTTATGACCATCATACCACTGGCTTGAATTTATGATCAGTTGCAGCAGCCTGCGATCACAATTGCAATCTTCCCAGCCAGTGTTTGATTTAAAAAAAAAAAAGTGAACTGGAGAAGTTGTAATTGCTTAATGCTCACCCGAGTCACTTAGCAACTTCAATAAAAATAGTCATAAAATTGGGGCTGGTGATGTGACGACTGCTTTATGACTGCACTGACTTAAAAATAGAAATTCTTCCAAGTGTGGTAATAAGTCAAGGATTACTATGTACATAATATTACCTTGCAATTGCATTATTTGCTTTTGTAAATCACTTTTTAAGGTACCACAACCCTTGTTTTATTTTAGCCCTTTCTGCCCTTAAATGGTTTGTCCTATTTCTTTTTGTAAGTTTAGAATTCGTTTTGCCTTTTTTGTACTGTTTATAACAGAATTTTGTAGTTAGTAACAGATAAATTGGTTTCTACCAAGTCAGTTCCATTCAGGTCTTATGTAGTACATTTGTAGCTCATCCTTCCTCCAATGAATTTGAGCTAGCATCAATGGGGATTAAGAATTTTGGTTTGTTTCTTTTCTCTTGATTTCTATTAGCTGAAATCATTTCAATTCTCAGCTTGGGTCTTGGCTTATAGAAGGCTGCTCATTAATGCTACAAAGGTCATTCTAAAAAGTGCATTTTAAATATAACATTCAAGCGTCATGATCTGAGAGGAAATAATTTCTTGTGTGTTACCTTGCAAATACGTCCAACCTTTCAGAAGGTTTGGTTGCAGAAAATAGGATTTTTTTTTTTCAAAAACTGGACAAATCTCTACAATCAACTTTCTGTGTTCAGTACCTGCTTTCTGGGGCAACCCCCAAGCCATGGACTGGCACCAGGCTGTGGCATGCCAGAAATTGGGCCGTGGGATGCAGGCAGAATTAAAAATCACGCCCCCTCTGGTCCATGGAAAAACCTTTCAACGGAACCGGTCCCTCGTGCCCAAAAGGTTGGGGGCCACTGCTCTAAAATACTGCACAGCTCTGAAATCACCTTGACTGGAATAGGAGCTTCTGATCAAGAAAGAAGAAATCTAATGTGTCTGTTATCTTGTTAAACCAGGTGAAACACTAGGGCAACATGACATGTTGCAATATATAATCCAACATTTATTGTGTCAACTCGCAAAACATCCCTGACCTGCTCTTGAGTTGCCAGAAGCAAGAGGGGGATGGGAAACCGATGAAATGGCACGGCAGCCAAAGACAGATTCACATTCCAACCTTCCAACCGTATCTCTCTCAAGGTTGTATCCTAGGGTTACCCACAGTGGCCGGAGGGGAGTGGTCTCTACAACCCACAAAATTGCTCTGTTGGCTAATGTAATTAATGACACACCCTGGGTGGGTGGGGGGAAACAGGATCATGATTGGGGTGTAAATTACGTAGGGTCAGAGCTGGCTTCACTTGGGAATGTGCCGACATGAAGCTCCTAATAAATAACTGGATTTCTTTTGAAGCTTGACTTAGGGCATCCGTTGGAACCCTGACATATTGAATTACAAATTATAATTCTTCAGTCTTTTATTGTGCTGATTAGGCATAATGGGAAAGAGAATTCCATTTTCAGAATGTCACACATGCCTCTCCAGTCATAATTCAGGACTCTTGCATATTTATAGTGGAATTAAAATGGGACCTGTTTGGTGGTGTGGATAAGGCATTGGGCTAGAAACTGGGAGACAATGAATTCTAGTCTAGTCTAGCCTTGGGCACAAAGTTAGCTGGGTAACCTTGGGCCAGTCATTTTCTGTCTGTCCTAGGAAGGAAGAATAGCAAACCAGTTCTGAGACACTTTGCCAGGAAAATTGCAGGCCTTGTACAGCCAGCCTCTGAGAATCCGACACAACTGAATGGAAGAAAAAAAAATAGTGGTACTGGATTATTGATACACGATAGTGATCATTACACTTTCTAGTGTGTCAAAGTCTGATTTCCAAGGTAATGGTATATGTATAAAGCCAGTTATGCATTTTCCAGTGTGCTGTTTTAAATTTTTAGATATTTTTTTTTATGTTTAAAAGCAATACCAAACTAAAAGGATATGACTTGATATGAAAATAATATTCCGGTTAATTTTTCTACTGATGTTCCCATATGGCATGTCTTTTCAAGCTTTATTGTTTATTGCAGCTATCCTAAATACTTGTAAATATTGTGCTGGTAAATGATTAAACATTTAATGATCTACCAAAGAATAATCGCAACACCCTCCAGGCCTCACTGATGTTACTGGCCACCAAAGAGCTCAGTGGCTCAGTTCTGCTCTCACTCGAGAGAGGATTTAAATTTCCCTATGTGGGACAAACACAGAGGAAATGAAAAAATGATTAAATCCTACATATCTCTAGTTCAAATACATAAAGCCTATTCTTACTAGTGTGTATTAGAAATGCTGACATGGGAAACATGGGTGAGTAAAATAGGGGTTAGCCCTTTCCAACTACCCACCCCATGTACTAGATCAGGGGTCTCCAACCTTGGCAACTTTAAGCCTGGTGGACTTCAACTCCCAGAATTCCCCAGCCAGCCAGCTGGAGAATTCTGGGAGTTGAAGTCCAGCAGGCTTAAAGTTGCCAAGGTTGGAGATCTCTGCTTTAAAACATCCCCTCAAGAGCAGCTGTCGGCAACAAGAGAGCTCTTCATTACACACCCAAGAAAAAAACAACAACGATAAGGTTGAAATTACTATCTGGCTCATTCAGCTTGATCCCCCTCACTATTTTACCCACAAATCCCTACATATCTCTTTAATGCAGGGGTCTCCAACCTTGGCCACTTTATGACTTGCGGACTTCAACTCCCAGCATGCGCTGGCTGAGGAATTCTGGGAGTTGAAGTCCACAAGTCTTCAAGTTGCCCAGGTTGGAGACCCCTGTACTAGATCCATCTCCAGCATAGATTCGAAGGTTGGGGGAGTTGCTGTAATCCATTACAGTCCGTTGGGACTCCCATCTTCCTCTCAAAGCTGCTTGAGGGGGAATAATAGAATAGAATAGGGAATAGACTAGACTAGAGTAGAATAGGAGAATAAGAATTAGAATAGAATTAGAATAATAGAATTAGAATAGAATTAGATTAAGAATAAGAATAGAATTAGAATAACTAGATTAAGAATAAGAATAGAATTAGAATACAATAGATTAAGAATATTAGAATAGAATAGAATAAAAATATAATTAGAATAGAATAAGAATTAGAATAAAGAATAAGAATAGAATAGAATAAGAATTAGAATAGAATTAGAATAGATTAAGATTAGAATAGAAAAATATAATTAGAATAGAATAAGAATTAGAATAGAATCAATTAAGAATATTAGAATAGAATAAAAATATAATTAGAATAGAATAAGAATTAGAATAGAATTAGAATAGAATTAGAATAAATAAGAATAGCATTAGAATAATTAAGAATTAGAATAGAATTAGAATAAAGAATAAGAATAGCATTAGAATAGATTTAAGAATAAGAATAGAATTAGAATAGAATAGATTAAGAATAAGAATAAGAATAGAATTCTTTATTGGCCAAGTGTGATTGGACACACAAGGAATTTGTCTTTGGTGCATACACTCTCAGTGTACATGAAGAAAAAAAATATATTCGTCAAGAATCATAAGATACAACACTTGGTGATAGTCATGAGATACTAGTAAGAACTCAAAAGTCTTAAAAGTCGTAGTGAATTAGATTTACTGAAGGGGTATCTATCTAGATTAGATTGCACATTCCACTGATACTTTTTTTTTGGGCATTCCTAAACGATCACAATCGGTTAGAACACCTGAGCTGTCATTCGAAATAAAGAGCCCCCCCCGCCCCCAACAACCCACTTCCCCTCACGAGGCCACGTAAGCGGGAAAACAGCCAAGCTCCACCCACCCACCCCTTCCAACCGCGCATTCTACGCAAGCGTGAAGCGGCACCCTCCGCGTGCTCATAACGCTAGCCCCGCCCCCAGGGCGACTTGGCCGTTGTTTCGCCCACCAAGCAGCCGGCAGAGGGCGCCGCGAGCGTTCTTTTTGAAGCCGCCACCTCATCCACCACCGGAAAGCAACGGCAGAGGAGAGGAGAGGAGAGGCGAGGAGAGAAGCGAGCTCAGCGCTCCCCAGAGCCCGCCCGTGACGGGGATGCAGCGTGGTGACCCGACGGAGCCATGGATCTGGATGAGGCTTTTGGGTTGGTGGGGGAGTTCGGGCCCCAGCAGAAGAAGCTCGCCGCCTTCCTGGTGCTGCTACAGGTGGGCTTGGGGACTGAGGGGGGGCCCCTCCCAGTTACCCTGCTGTCCTCCTCGGTCCCATCCCCTCCTTTCCCATTCGCCGAGCGCATAATGGAGGGGAGGAGTTGCGTAGCTGCTGTCGTCAAGGCAACGGCAGCGCCCGCCCTCCTACGGTGGCCTGCGTGGCAGGAAACGCGCGCGCCTCCTTTGTCCCAAGACGGCTGGAGGCGCAGCGGGTGGGCTTCGTTTCCTCTCGTTCGGGGGGAGCGATTAGCTCCTCTTCGGACTTGGGAGTCGTAAAAAAAAACACGGGTCTACAGCTTTCCTGGATGGCCGTTTTTTCCTGACGTAATTCAGACGGGGAGAGAGAAAGAATACTATTGTAGAGCAGGGGTCTCCAACTTTGGCAACTTGAAGCCTGGTGGACTTCAACTCCCAGAATTCCCCAACCAGCTTTGCTTTAAGCTTTGCAGGCTAGGGAATTCTGGGAGTTGAAGTCCACCAGGCTTAAAGTTGCCAAGGGGTCACCAACCTTTCAGACCTCAGGGACCACTAAATTCATAATTTTAAATCCTGTGGACCACTAATATGATTTTTTTTTAAAGATAAATAGGATTTAGTGCAATATAAAAAAATGCAAATAATTTTTCTGCGGACCACCAAAATTTTCTTGTGGACCACCAGTGGTCTGTGGACCACTGGTTAGAGACCCCTGCTGTAGAGCATCTCTTGGAAAGGGTGTGCGGGAGTAGAAATTGTTTATCCTACCTTTAGGTGGATTAGAAGCTGCCTCACTCGATTTACATTACAAGATGAAGCACCCTCCTTAGTTTAGTTTAGTGTAGTTTAGTTTATTTGATTGTCATTGCACCTCGTACAGTGAAATTAAATGCCAGCTTCAGTGTACCATTTTAATTATAAAAATAAAACACAAACACACATCCTTCACCTTCTATACAATTGAATTGAAAATTCTTGTGCTTGCTTGGTGGTTGTAAATGGTTTCTTACATGTTTTTATTGCTGCTGTGAGCTACCCAGAATTAGAGTATATTAAGATGAGGGGTCAGATGGGTTTCACAAATTTAGCACTGCACTGGCAGAGAATTTGCCAAGTGGAAAATAGGAATGACTAACTTCCGAATCTCCAAACACTATTGAGTTATAAGACTACCTGTTACAGCTCTGAATATTTAATGGCCACTGTCTTTTTCCCCCCAGTGCTGTCTTGAGTTGTGCATATATTTACTTAAAATATATTTCAACCTATTTGTGCTATATAAATTTTACAGGAATATTTATGTGTTGGAAAGTATTCTCCACTGAACATACATGGTACAACAAAGAAGGTGAAAGAGACAAACTTAATTTGTCAATCTATATATGAATGGTAAAAGTGACACATAAGAATGTGCTTTTCTTTTATACAGTATATTTATCAGACTGTCTATTAATCCAACTACAGGGTATTAGAACTTTTCTCCAGCTGTATTGGATTGTTTTTCAGAATTCCTTGTCAATGTTGCTTTATTGGCTGACAATTCAGAGAGCTGTAGAATACTGGGAGAAAATTGAAGTTTCCAGAAGATTCATTAGTGAGTTGAACTACAAGTGAGGAGAACTACAAATTCAAGCCCACTCATCCAATTTCTCAGCATAGCTTAGACCACAAGATACCGGTAGTTGCAGTGAGGATACAATAAAGGGAAATGCTTGTGCAAGCCCTCTTTAACCTTAGAGAAAAGACATATAGATTTAATAAAAGTTTATTTTGCTTGTATAGATATATCACGGGAGAAATATGGAATCAGGTTGTTGAAAATGGAGTGTTCATCTACTATTGATTCGGTTATTGGGTTCATGGTACCTTCTCTATCAGTCTCTCTGTTCTGGAGATGAATTTGGCAACCTATTTACCATAAAAGGCTCTATGGTTATTTGTTGTTTTTTTTAAGTTGAACAAAGACTAGTTACCTCAAAGTCAAGTTACATTTTGAGACCCTAAATTCTTTCTTGAAGTCATTTAGTTTTATAGGACATTCTGCCTATCCAGGCTTTTAGTTTGCCTATTTCTTTTGCCTTGAGAAAGCAATTTTCAGTGGTTTAAGGGAGTCGCATGAAGAGGCCTAACTAAAGATGGGAGTGTTGCATGCAGGTTGTGGTTTGCTCACTTTCTGCTTTATATGCTCCATCCTGTCCCACCAGATTTAGCCAAATTAAATCTAAGCCTGTTATCAGAAATGTGTTTCATTAATGTCTCATTGCAAATAGGGCTCATATAATTATAAATAAAATTAACACTATAATATGCAAATATGACCATCAAAGGAAAGGAAGCAACTGAAAGGAAACTTTGGTGTGAGTTCTATGTCATTTTTATAATGGCTTTCATTACTTAAAATCCTAAGGATTTGTTTTAAAAATAAATGTTAAAAAGTCATATTGCTTCTATGCTTATTCTTGCTTGACTAATTTTACATGCAGATTGCCACACTATAAGGCTGCACGCTCTTTTCTATCCCCGACATCACTAATTTTCAAACTTTCAAACCTGTAAAATGATTAATTCCTGCAACTAACATTGAATAATAATAGATAAAACTCATAATTTTTCAATAGGTTTGACAGATGGTTAGAGCCATTTTTTAAAACTCCCTCGAGTCTTTCCTCCTGCAGATTTTCCTTTCTTTCCTCTTTCCTTCTGCAGAAGGAAACAGAAGTGACTTCTGGAAATGTGTTAAGCCTAATCAGCCTTTTAAAAAGTATACCCCCTCACCAGTTGCTAATGCCACTGTGTGTATTTCATGATCTAGAGCAGTGATGATGAACCTATGGCACACGTGCCAGAAGTGGCACACAGAGCCATCTCTCCGGGCATGCCAGCCATTGTCCATTGCTCTTCCGGGTTCCAGTGTGCACATGCGCACTGGGCAGCTAGTCTCCATGCGCACATGCATGCCAGAAGACCAGGTGACAGGTACGCATGCACCCTCCGGAAACTGTAAGCTCAGTTGCTCTTCCAGTTTCCGGCGCTCCCACGCATGCACACCAGGGAGCTGCTCTTCTAGTTTTTGGCACTCCCAGGCATGTGAGCCAGGGACACGCTCTTCCGTTTTCCAGTGCTGCTCTGCCATTTTTGGCACTCCTGCACGTGCATGCCAGGGAGCTGCTCTTCTGGTTTCTGGCGCTCCTGCGCATGCACTCCGGGGAGCTGCTCTTCTGCTTTCCGGTGCCCCCCCTGCGCACGCTCGCTCACTCCCGTTTTGGCACTCGGTACTGAAAAGGTTTGCCAGCACTGATCTAGAGTTTGAGAAGTCCTGGCACAAAGAAGAAGATAAAGGTGCAGCAGGAGCTTTTACCCTTGCTCTTTAAAAACCTATGAAACATTTCCTAATACTCAAATAGTCTCATATTAAACATGAACAAAGTTCGGTTCTTAGAAGTGCAGCTTTGCCCAGCATAGTTGGGAAGTCAGTAGTTATCTTGGGGAGGGGGGAGGAAGGGTGTTTGTTTTTGATAAGCTTGCCTGTTAAATATTTGAAATACCATCATTATGGATGAGCAAAGGGTTTGTTAAGAAAAGGTTGATTTCTTCTATCTCAAAGGATTGTGGTCCCTGTAGTGACAATGCAACCGGTTGCAGAATTTAGGTCAGTCAGAGTAGGCCCAGCAAGGCCTGCTTTCATTGAAATGATTTCACCAAGGCTTGTATTCTTCTTTGCCTCATAGAGGAGAAGCGAAATTATCACATATTTATTTAAAAGATTTACACCTACAATAAGCCCTCAAGCCCTAAAAAAAAAAAAGAAGGAAAAGAAACACATGGAACAAAAATGAAAAAGTGCTTCAGTCATAGAAACACAGAAAATCGACAGAAGGGGGAAAAAAACCTAATGGTCATCCGGTCTGCCTTGAGGTTTTTTTTATTTTCTTTTTTAATTTTAATTTTGTTTTTAAATTTTTGTCGGATGATAGACGTGTGTTCATCCCAAGCATGTTTGAACTCAGTTACCGGAGTTAACCAGTTTATCATCCTCTTGACATGCCCCCAGCAAATCATCTACTGCAGTGATGGCTAACCTTTTTCTTGTTGTGTGCCGAAAGCACGCGCGACAGCATGTGTGCGTGCAGGCACCCATAATGCAATGGGTGCCCCCCACGCATGCGTGCGCACCTCCCCACTCCCAATGCACATGCGACCGCCCCATGCTTTCCCTGCCCCCCACACATGACCCTCCCGCCCCCATTTTTGGCCTAGTAAGTCTCCCTGCAGCCTCTTGGGCCCAAAAACAAGCAAGGAGGGGGCTGCACCCCCACGCCCCCCTGTTTTGTGCCTAGCAGGCCTCCCTGCAGCTCTGCCCCCACCCCCCGCACATGTGTGCATGACTCCTGCACCCCATGCATGCACATGCCCTCCTCACACATGCGTGCACATCTCCCACATGCACCCTGCCCCCCGCACATCCCAAAAATCAGCTGGTCGGGAGCCGCGCATGCACTCATGCATGGTTGAGCTGAGCTGAGCGATGGCTCGCGTGCCCGCAGAGAGCGCTCTGTGTGCCAGCTGTGGCACATGTGCCATAGGTTCACCATCACGGATTTACTGTATCCCAGTGCCTGGGGGAAGAACTAGCTTTTTATGACCTTCCAGAAGGCGAAAAGGGTGGGGGCTACTGAATCGCTGGGGGAAGGGTATTCAACAGGGTAGGGGCTGCTATGGGAAAAGGAGCCTTCCTAGGTCCCACCAGAAAGCAATATTTATGGAAGGGACCTTCAAGGCATGTCAGAAAAATATGGAATATAGGGGAAAGTAATGAATAAACATGGTCAAGGCTGGGGGAACTATTTCTTTAAGCCTTGTAAAGTCAGGAAATGCCTTGTGCTTGCAACATGACAGCGAGCCAAGGTCGCGTGATTACCATTTGTGAGTCCCAAAGGTGCTTTTTCAGGAGACAACTTGTTTATCTTTGAAGACCATTTGTGAGCTTCCCTGCCAGTTTCCCATAAGCAAAGTCAATAGGGAAGCTGGCAGGAAGGCCAGAAGTTGCTTCCATATGTCCTGCTGCTGCTTTCTCTTCCAAGGGGCCCTGCTGTGGAGCACAAGATCCCAACACACACACACACACACACACACACACACAGCATGCCCATCTGGCTCAGTAGCAGTCCCCACTCCATAGCCCACCTGCCCTCAGAAGTGCCCACCTGTGGCATTCTCCCACCCACCTACAGCTAACACCTGCTGGCCTAGAACTCCAGTCATGTAAAGTCCTCTCTTAAGGACCTGTGCAGACCTGCGGTTGCAACAGCAACCAGGATTACTGTTGCTAAGCATTACGGTCATGTGACATGACACTTTATAACTGCATCTCTTGGCAACAGAGATTCCATCCCAATTGCCATCATAATCTGAGGATTACCTGTATAAGTTGTGAAAATGTTTCTTAACTAAAGTAGGTATTTAAGGATTGATAGTCCTGAGTGTATGCAAAGACTGGTACATCTCATCCTCCAGAAGGATAGTGACATGAAATAGTGCCAGTAGTGGCACTATTGCTATCTATAATTCAATTGGAGGCTGCGATTTGTTATATGGGAGGGTTCTGGGAGAAAATTGGTTCCCTGATTCTAGAATGTTTCTAGAGGAGTATGGATTTAGCTTTGGTTATATGAATATCAGGGATGCAGTGGCTCAGTGGCTAAGACACTGAGCTTGTCGATCGAAAGGTTGACAATTCAGCAGTTTGAATCCCTAGTGCCGCGTAACAGGGTAAGCTCCCGTTACTTGTCACAGCTTCTGCCAACCTAGCAGTTCGAAAGCATGTAAAAAATGCAAATAGAAAAATAGGGGCCACCTTTGGTGGGAAGGTAACAGCGTTCTGGGTGCCTTTGGCATTTAGTCATGCCGGCCACATGACCACGGAGATGTCTTTGGGCAGCGCTGGCTCTTCAGCTTTGAAACGGAGATGAGCACCGCCCCCTAGAGTCAGGAATGACTAGCACATATGTGCGAGGGGAACCTTTACATTTACCTTATATGAATACCCATTACAAAACCTTAAGCCTGGAAAAACAGGAAAATCAGGAAGAATCTTGATTGTCCCTCTTGATTCTCTTTTGCTATTAGAGGAAGAGGAATTCTCTCAGATTTTCAAGATTCCGATATTATTCTTTATAATAATAGAATAACAGAACAACAGAGTTGGAACTACATTTATGGATTCACAGCTGGTTGACCAAATGTACTCAGTGTGTAGTCCTCAATAAAGTTCTATCTAAATGGAGGGAAGCCTGCAGTAGGGTACCCCAAAGTTCTGTCTTAAGCCCGGTGCTCTTCATCATCTTTATAAATGATCTAGATGAGGGGATAGAAGGGGAATACATCAGACTCGCAGATGACACCATGCTGGGTAAAATTGTTAACACCTTGGAAGAGAGGCTCAAGATTCAGAAGGATCTTGATAGATTTGAACACTGGGCCCTCTCTAAAACAATGTTCTAGTCTGCCAAGATCCTTCTGTATCTTGAGTCTCTCCCTCTGGTGGGAAGCCCCCAGCTGCCACTGCTACACTGCATTCTGATCGCTCGCTCGCCTGCCTGCCTGCCTGCCTGCCTGCCTGCCTGCCTGCCTGCCTGGTTCTCCCTCCGGCCACCAGTGGCAAATTGTCCCTGCGGTGAATTGGCTATGTTGAATTGTGCTGTAATGACTAGGTGGTGAGTTGTCAGAGGAGTATCCCTCCCCTCCCAATTCAATTCAATAGAGCTAGAAGGGACCTTGGAGGTCTTCTAATCCAACCCCCTACTCAGGCAGGAAACCCTGCATCACAGTTCTGTACCATTCTTAGATATGTCTCCTCTATATTCATATTGGATTGTAATCAGTTAATATATGTAAGATATCAATGAAATACTGTATTAATACATTTCAGGTTGCTCCTAGGATGAATGTATGTGTCACTGAGAATATTTTCATTTGAGTATTAATATTGTGTACTAGGAACTCTGTGTATATTAGACCAATTTGTATGTGAAATGTTTTCAATAACCCCCCCCCCCCAAAGCTATGATCCATGAACAAATGTGTGTGTTTGTGTGTATATGAAAGAGAGAGACAGAGAGAGTAGAGACAGACAGAGAGAGCTGACAGTTTACCATAAATTACCTCTTTTTGTTTTCCTTTTAAGGTGTTTGTTGCCTTTCAGTCTATGCTTATTGTTCTCGTGGGAGCTGTGCCAGAATATCATCTTGACCAAGAAGGAATTCTGACTAGTGCAGAAGCTCTTGCAAAACACGTCAGGTTTACCAGTAACTTCACTTCTATAGCAACAGAGGCAAGTATGTTTTGTTTTCTTGAGTTAATAATATTTTTATGCAGTTTAGGTTCCCAGCCAAAACTAACATAGTGGCTGAGTATATATTTTAAAAAAGCCAGTTAAGCTGGCTGTGTTAAAGAAGAGGATAGTTTTCAGTGTGGAAAACAAAATTCTAGCCTATTCAGGCACAAGACATTGAAATGTAAATGCTCTAAAGGGACAATGCTGTATTATATCAACATGTAGGAGTTTATCACATGTATAGAATTGTAGAACTTCCTGTAGTGTAAGTTTAAAAGGTGCTTTGGGGTCTTTTATGTAAGAAGTAAACTTATAAAAAAAACCATAAATATACTCTTGACCAATATACATTCCCTCATCTTGTTCTGGTAACATTCTAGCATCTCTTCTGTTATTTCATCTCCCAGAATTTCTGAGAAAAGCAGGGTGCTCTCTGCTTTTATATCTGCTATTCAGAGAGGCTACATAGGGGTGATGTGATCCAAGGCCATTAATGGTAATGTCCCAGTTTCAGAATATGTTGCCACTGTCCCAAAATAAAAACCAGCTCTAGTGTGAGTTGGCTGTGAGTTGCCCCCCATAACCTGGATCAGTCCGTGATGGCATGTAGCCTCGAACTCACAAGTAACTTCTGAACTGGTGCCCAGAGGGATCAGGTTAAAATCCCTCAGTACCAGGGGTGGGATGCTGGGAGTTCGCAGGGGTTCAGGAGAACCTCTAGTTAAGATTCTGTGCAGTTCGGAGAACCTCCAAATCCCACTCCTGGGTGGCTCCGCCCACCCCTCCCCTCCCAGGAGGCCGTTTTGGATGCAGGTAAGTGCAGGGCGCACGCGGAGGCTTGAGGAGGGTGAAAAACGGGCCTACTGGAAGTTTGGGAAGGCCAGAAACAAACCCGTTTCTGGCCTCCAGAGGGCCTCTGGAGTCTGGGGAAGCCATTTTCTCCCTCCAAGAGGCTCAAGGAAAGCCTCTGGAGTCTGGGAAGGGCAAAAACGCCCCACACCCCTGCCATGGTGCAGGAGGCCGACTAGGCCACGTCCACCATGGCCATGCCCACCCAGAACCGGGCAGAGAACCCCTTACTAATATTTTTGAAGCCCACCTCTGCCCAGTACCATTAGTCCGGGGAACTCCATTGCCAGTCCAGCCACTGCCTCATGTAGTTTGGGGTGGCTGGCTGATATATTAGCAGTAATCCCATCTGATTCCTAGAGCCTCGTCTCACAAGCAGAGTCTTGCAATAGATTATCTGTGGAATGGCTTCTCTGAAGGTCACCAGGGTCTCTTATACAACTATAGCCATTTCATTGCCTTTGCCTTTTGATCACATTTCCCAAAAGTTGTTCCTTTTGTACCTAAACTGAGAGCCAAAATTCACACCCAAATATAGGTAGTGCTCCCTTAACCACTGTGACTATTTGGAGTTACGATGGTGCTAAAAAATACAACTTTATAATTAATGCCTGCATTTATGACCTTTGCAGGATCCCTCAGTCATGTGATCTCTGTTAGAGTCAGTACGTCCTATACTTTCTTTTCCCCCTTCCTTACAGCATAGAGAGTTTGGAGGGGAAGAAATCAAGAGAGTAAACAGGCACACAGTGGGAAATATGTATCGAAGCCAATTCACTGGTGCTGGCAACCACAAGCACAGATTAGATTAACAGAGTTGGAAGGGACCTTGTAGGTCATTTAGTCCAACCCTCCACCAGAGCAGGAGACCCTACACTATTTCTGTCAGATGTCAGTCCAATCTCTTCTTAAAAGCCTCCAGTGATGAAGCTCCCACAACTCCTGAGGGCAAGCTGTTCCTTTGGTTGATTGTTCTCACTGTCAGAAAATGTCTCCTTATTTCCAGGTTGAATCTCTCCTTGATCAGCTTCCAATCATTATTCCCTGTCTGGCCTTCGGGTGCTTTGGAAAACAGCCTGACCCCCTCCTCTCTGTGACAGCCTCTTAAATATTGGAAGACTGCTAACTTGTCTCCCCTGGTCCTTCTCTTCACTAGACTAGCCATGCCCAGTTCCTGCAACCGTTCATCGTATGTTTTAGCCTCCAGTCCCCTAATTATCTTTGTAGCTCTTCTCTGCACGCTTTCTAGAATCTCAACATCTTTTTTATAATGCGTTTACCAAAACTGGATGCAGTGTTTTAGATGTGGTCTTACTAAGGCTTTATAGAATGGTATTAGTACCTCATTTGAATCCCTCTGTTAATGCAATTTAGGATTGCATTGGTTTTTTTGGCTACCGCTGCACACTGTTGCCTCATATTTAATTGATTGTCCACTAAGACGCCAAGATCCCTCTCACAGTTACTGCTATTAAGCCTGGTATCACCCAGTCTCTATACGTGTACTTTTGTTTTTTTTTTGCCTAAATGCCAGACTTTACTTTTCTCTACATTGAATTTCATTTTGTTAGATAGGGTCCAGTTTTCAAGTCTGTCAAGATCCATCTGGATCTTGAGTCTTATCATCTAGGGTGCTGTATTCCGTTTTGTGTGTTGCTTGCTCTCTTCTACCACCTTTCTCTCCATTCTCTTCACACTGCAGAGGTATAGAGGGAAAAAGCAGTTTCAGGATGCAAATTCTGTTGTGCCTGATCCATTCCCCCTCTCTATGCCTACTTGCTTTTTTCTCCTCTACAGTGAATGTAAATGCAAACATAAATTCTCTTCTTGCTTGTTATGCCAATGCCAGGATGAGCATCGCAAATGGTGCAGATATAGAAAAGAAAAGCACAGTTATGGCCATGTGATTTTCCACTTAGCAGCTGCTACTCGCCCAATTGTGGTTACTAAATGAGGACTACTTCTACTTGTTACAGTAACCTAAATCATATGACAGCATATGGTTAGGCAAAAATAATTTATATTATTCTTTATTCTTTGTTATTTATTATGTACTTATCTTTTTTACCATTCATTTTTATATTATAGCATAAGTTCTAAACCCTTTGAGCAGCTTGGGAATTTGATCTTGACCCAATTCCTGAGGTTTTACCTTCAAAAACAAAAACTAAATTCCTACCTCCCCCAAGCGATTGTTCCAGTGAAAGAAAAATGAGTGGGCAAAGCAGTTTTGGGACTTTACTGTGATTAGAGGCAATCACTGGAATAGTAGTATTTTAAATGAAAATAGTCTCTTTTTTTATTTGTCTTCCATAGTGGTATTTAATCAAACATGAAGCATACAAAGTGAACCTAGCCTCATCCTTGTATTTTGGTGGGTTACTTATTGGAAATATACTGTTTGGCCCATTGTCAGATAAATTGGGCAGAAAGCCTGTATATCTAACAGGTAAGATGTTAAACAGCCGTTGTATGTTATGGATGTATTTGATGATCCTCAAGCCTTTTGTCCAAGCCAGGAAAGCAAAAAAATTCTGAGCAGTAGTTGAGATGGTCAGGGCAAGCTTAGGTTAGGTTGGAGGACAGCAGAGAGGGAACTGTTCTGACCTAGGCTTCCCCAAAAAGCACGAAGCAGAATCCTGGTACCGACAAAACCCCTTTTATTAAACGAATATGAATTCCTCTCATTCACATTCAGCAAAGGCCTGGCAAACAGTCTTTCAAAGGTGAATTTATGACTACAGACCTTATCTAGCTTGGAAAGCTGCCATGTAAATATTTTCCAAATGCAAGGAAAGACTTGGCACAGAGTCTCTGAGATTCACGGACAGATCTTCACACTCCTGAACCGAACAAACGAATTGTTCCCTGAAAAAATCCACTCTCCCCTTTCGCTCCTCTTTTATTTCCTATGGGAGGGGCCATTGATCGTCCACCTGTGGCTTTACTCCCAAGTCGACCCTGATTTCCTAGCTGTTCTTTTCTTCTGGCAGCTCTGCACATGCGCACACTGGGAACAGGCTGCAGCTGTTCCTCTGCCTCACTGCTGTCTAGCTGATAACTGCCAGATGGCCTTGGCCGCCTCTCTGCCTCCAACGCAGAGCCCTCGTCCGAAACTTCCCTAGCCTCCAGGACTGGCCCATGTTCCTCCCCAACCTCCTCACTGTCTGACTCTGCTGCCAGTTCTGCTGGCCACTGGCGGGCCACAGCAGGAACCTTGCTTAGGGTATCTTTAGCTCAGGGTTTTGGTTTTTTTCAGATCTTAAACTTCTGAGTCCCAGGCAAAGAAAGGTGATCGGATTCTTTCTCTAGGCCAGGTCTGCTGAGCTGAGAGTCAGCCCCACACAAATCAGAGTATAATTTCAAAGGCTCCAGTTTGCACAGGGTGGTGGTATTATTTCAGAACCCATCTGCAACAGGGTTCAGAGATGCGTCCTGATGCATGTGACCGCCTGCTAACTTTTTGGCAGCTCAGAAATAATTGGCGTCTCAATAAATGCAAACCTTGCTAGCTAAATGGATCCTCCATGTTCAAAAGTAGTGAATTTCTAGGTAGCAGCTGCTGAACAAGTGACGATCATGTCTCAGGATCTAGATGAAATTCTTATAAGCTTTAAGAGCTGACTGTTTCTGAAGCCAGCAGAAGGGTGGATAGCCCAGCTCTGTCCTTAGTTGTACCCTGGCTGTAAATCAGATAACTTTAAGGAGCTGCCCCTTTCAAACAGAAGCCAGGAGTGAATGCTTTGGGGACAGGTTGGAGCTGGGAAGCCTCTTGTGGGATGGCTGCCTTGCCAGCATTGGACTCAGATGGGGTGCTACTGAGATTCCTTACCGGGCTCAGCCAGGACCTCCTCTCCTCCCCCCCACCCTCCAGTGGCTCTTTGCAAAAGCAACAGCTTTTTGCACTCAGTGAGTGCATATATTCCTCAATTCATAGATGCTCAAAGGAGACGAGGGAAGGGTGCTGAGGGTAGCAGGAATTGCACTCGTGCTGAATGAGCAAATGTTGGATGAGGAAGACCTTCCCTTCTGTCAGACAGTCCCCCCAGCTTGGTTCTCAGTGCTTGGAGCTTGATATGCAGCCGATCTCACTCCTGTGCCCCCCACTCCCTCCCCAGACCTCCACCGTGTTTCCCCAAAAATAAGACCTCCCTGGATAATAAACCCTCCCCTTAAACCCTCCCCCGAAAATAAACTCTCCCCCGAAAATATTTAAACGCATGCGCAGCTGGTCCCCGTCATTTCTCTGATTAGGGTTAGGGAGACAGAGCTGGAAATCAGGTAAGATGGCAAGAGGATCCCCATCTTGCTCCACGCGCCCCAAAATAATAAGACCTTCCCGAAAATAAGGCCAAGCGCTTATTTCAGGGTTCAAAAAAATATAAGAGAGGATCTTATTTTTGGGGAAATACGGTAGCTTTTCTTCTGCTGAAATGCAGCTCTTGAAGAGCACTAGCTCATAATACCTGGAAGAGAATTCCTGAAGCTGCTGGGGTTTTTGGGGGGATGTGCGCAAATGTTGCTTGGCCACATATGGGCATAATTTAGCAGGAATATTGGTTTTAGACCAGTACTTAGCACGTAGGTTGCTGAGGACAACCTCCTATATCATGAGACTCAATTCAAATTAGGCATCAGTAGGATGGGATTTTCACTTGAAAGCAATGAAACATATCATAAACAACTAACATATTTGTGTTGGGGGTTTTTTTGGGATAGGACCTAATATAGTCACATCTTTGTACCACACATTTTCTTAATAAATGTAACTTTTATTGTTTCTTGCCACAATATTTTCAATTCAGGATTAATAGCATCATGTCTGAAATACCTTTCATTTGGACTGCATTTCCAATATTTTGCCTTATCCATATTGCAAGAAAGTTACATTTTTCAGAATATCTTTAGAAAATCTGGAATATATATGTGTCGGCTTAGATGAAAATAATTATACTAGTTTTCTTTAACCACTATGAAAAAAAAACTGGTAATAATTTCCTTTCTGCCTTTTTTCCATTTGTAAATTTGCCATACTATATAATAAAGTCTCTGAATCGGTTGGATTGCACTATATTAATTTTTCTTTGTTATATATCTTTTGTGCAGGGCTTTTTTTGGACGTCATTTTTGGATACGTTTCCGCATTTGCTCCAAATTATGAAATATTTGCAGCATCACGCTTTTTTGTTGGAATTACAAATGGCGGCATGTCCTTAGTGTCTTTTGTTTTGACACAAGAATATGTAGGAAAATCTTTCTGGGCAATGACAGGTAAAATTTGAGGATTTAACTTGTGATAAATGAAACACAATTGTTAAAATTTAGTGTATCAAAAAATTGTTTAAAAGCTACTTAAGGTTGGAATATCAATGTTTTAGTCTAAATACCATTGCCTTAAAATATCCTTTCTGAAGGTGCACAGTCTAAATCTTGTTCTTCTCTTTCCCTACTGACCTGGTGAAGAAACATGGTTGAGGAAACCATATTAAGGGGAAGGTTTTTCATGCATAGCCCAATAACTCTGGAATAAACATCATCTGTGAACAGGGTGGATTTGTTTTAAATCAAGTCGATTTAAATCACGATTTAAATCACTAATAAAAAGGCTTGATTTAAATCAACTCAATTTAAATCATAATTTGTAAAGAGCAACTGTCATCTCTGCTGTGAAATTGTGTGAATGCATCAATGCAGTGCATGTTATCTCAGTTTGCAGAGCTTGGATTCATTGAATGAGTTTACCAAACTGCAGAATATACAGCCTCATGCTACATAACTAAGCTCCATTTCATGAATAAACTAAATTATTAATGTATCTTAAATAGAGAACTATAATTAGATAGATTTTTGTTCCAAAAGCATTTTATTAAAGTAAATTTGATAAAAATAAAAAAAATCCGATTTAAATAAAAAAATATTAAGATTTTTTTAAAAATCATCGATTTGTATCCACCCTGTCTGCGAAGAATAAACCTTTATGACATCACATATTTCTATATTGCACTGTATATTCATAATTATATCCATATATGTATCTATCAGTCAGAATTGTAACTGCCAGAGGGAGGAATGATTAAACCACAAAATCCCTCCTTGACATTACTAAATAGATAAATTACTTCTTTACTTCCCTTTGTCTGCTGTATCCACCAAATCATCGTTGGAGGTTTTAAGATTTCTGTGTTGTCGTTTTGATGGTATGAGAGAACAATGGAAGTTCCATTGCTGATGGAATGCCCATATTCTAAAGTTTTGATATAGCCTCCACTGTAAACTATCATCAAAAGACGGCAGACACATCAACTTGATCTAATGGGCATTCAATCTTTTTTTTTTTTCAAAAAAGGAAACTTTCAGTTATATTTGAGTTTTAAAAAACGAGCGAAGGTAATACCTCCTTACTTTATATTTGTTCTGTATTATTTTCCTCTCTTCCTTTCCCTTCTAAAAATGTCCTGTTTTCATGTTCTCTTGTTGATTTGTTTTTCTTTTTCCCAAGGCTCTTTCCATTTTATCCATTCCTGTTTCATCTCCTGCTCTTGGCTACTTTCCTTGTATGATTTATTTCTCCTGTTAAATTATCTTGTCTTATGCATGATTTGCTGATAAACTGGCCTTTGAGAGGTTGAAGAGATGCTCCATTGCCAGTTGCAGCCTGCCGTCTCAGGTGCTATGGGGTTTATAGTATGTTTTGGACATTGAGCTAGCTGCAATAGTTAAAACTTAGTCGAGGGCAGGGGAAGAGAACTGTTGCCCATTGCTTTTCACATTAGCATTGATGTGTGTCTAGTCACGATGACAATGTCCTAAACTACTGTGAACTGTGCTTGTGTTGTTTAGTGTCAATTAACAATCTATGTCAGATATTTCCCCCTATAATTCTCATGTCTGATAGGGGTTCTGGAAGCCTAAATTTCAATTTAATAAACTGACATAGAAACCAGTCCTATGTATACGGATAGCCCTTCCTTAACTATGGTAATTGGCACGGAGAACTCCATTGCTAAGTAATGGAATTGTAAAATGCGACCTCACCTGGCCACTGCTACTTATAACAGCAGTTCCGGCAGTCCCCCATATTATTTGTTAGGATCATATAAGGAAAGTTCCTGTCGTTCAGCGTCATTGTAATTTTGAATAGTCGCTGAATGAACAGTCATTCAACAAGGATTACTTGTAATTGGAACTGAATTCCATTGTTTTAATTATTACAGTAAATGTGTACTAGATTGTAGGTTTAGAGTGTAATCCATTGAGCTCAAGTGAGATTTTATGTACACACAAACGTGGCTGGAATTGCTAATAACATTGAAAAATACTATTTTGCCCTGTGCTTTAATCTGTATATCTCATCCCAAAGTAGGAAGTTATGTTAAAGTATCTGGGATAGCTTAATGTTGTGACCTTACCCTTCCTTAGCATGTTAAGCTTGTTAGTTGTCATGATTGATATCTGCCCAAAGTCGTATTTTTAAACAATGAGAATCTAATTTCTTAAACTAAGAAAGGATTAACAGCTTGTACAGCATGTTATGAACTTAAAATAAACAAAATGTTTTGCAGTAAATTAATCTGAATTTGTTGACTGAACTTGACAAATCACAAAAGTATTATTCAATAAATAACTTTATAACAATTATTATAGTTAGTATATAGTATGAAAATGAGGAATTATTCTTTACAATTTTTTGGTTGAATTATTATTTTAATTATTGCTTTTTTTACTTATTTGTGCATTTATAATTAATATGATTTCAGTGTAAATTATACACTTAGCATAATAAAATTATGTTCTTAATATGGGTGTAGTGCTGAAATGTCTTGGGTTTTTTTCCCAGCATTTTATAAAATACTTTGTTTTTGTTTGTATCTTCAGGTTCATTGACAAATTTGACCTTTGCATTTGGCATAGCTGTTTATGCTTTACTGGGGTATTACATAAGAGACTGGCGTCTTCTTGCCTTTGTGTCAAATTCTCCAGGAGTTTTCTTCTTTCTTCTTTCTTTGTAAGTCATAATTATATTCATAGTAGACAAGTGGCAAAAACACTAACCCAAAGTTAAAGGATAATAATATTAAAGAGAGAAAACTTTGACATTTTTATATTTGGAATGAAATCAGAGGAATTATTTTAGTTTGCTTGACAATGTGTTTTTAAAAGAAATATTGAAAATCAGTTGCGTATTGTTGAGTATAAGCTAAGCCTGGTTAGCATGATGAGCCCTGATGCGTGCCATATCATCGAAAACAGTCTAGAGAGGGAGCAAGGATGAGTGAGACTGACCTGCATCTCATCTCTTTACCATAAAGCTTAAGATCAGGAGACAAAAAGTTTCAGTTTCCCTGAAGTCATTGGAATTCCATGAAAAATCCCTTGGGAAGGTGGGGGAGGTCGTCTGAGTAAAAAGGTAAAGGTTTCCCTCGCACATATGTGCTAGTTGTTCCCGATTCTAAGGGGTGATGCTCATCTCCTTTTCAAAGCCGAAGAGGCAGCGCTGCCGAAGACATCTCTGTGGTCATGTGGCCGACATGACTAAACATCAAAGGCGCATGGAACACTGTTACCTTCCCACCAAAGGTGGTCTCTATTTTTCTACTTGCATTTTTTATGTGCTTTCGAACTGCTAGGTTTGCAGAAGTTGGAACAAGTAACGGGAGCTCATCCCATTTCGCGGCACTAGGGTTTCAAACCGCTGAACTGCCGACCTTTCGATCGACCAGATCAGCATCTTAGCCACTGAGTCACCGAGTATCTGGGTGCAAAATGTGTTACCTAAGGAGACCCTGTATATCTCTTCACCTGTACAGAGTGTCCCTTCATGAAACCGTGAAACTCTGAATTCTGAATATCCCTGCCTTGTAATGTGGCTCTATTGTGCATAGCCTAGTTGCAAATTTCTATGCTGAATTATGTCACGGTTCCAAACCAAGCCAGCAAAAGAAGAGGCCACACTGTGAGTAGAACAGGCCTCTTTACTGCAGTCTCAGCTTGGCAGGTGGTGAACAATAGAGTAAAAGGGTTACTGGCTTCTGCTAGCCAGCTGGCTATACGGACTTAGCACGCTCCGCCCTCCTGTTCCTGGTTGCTCCTGGCTGGCTCCAGCAAGTTCTTTTTGGGCCCGGCTCCAGCAAGCACTCTTCGAGCCCAGTTGCTCTCTGGCTGGCTCCAGGCCTGGCTGGCTTCTGAACCGACCGCAGCTGGCTTGCCTTCCTGTCTCCTCTCCCAGTGTGAGTCCCATCACCCGACACCCATCTGTGGCCCCATGCATCCCCCTCCCCCTACGCGTGTGTGGCAACTCCGAAACGGCGCGTTGTGGCGCACTGTCTCGGATGTTGACAAATTATTTGGGAGAGAGGAAAGTTTCCCTTCATAGCACTTTTTAAACTTCTTTTGAAACAAGCGGATGGAGATGAATCATTAAGCCAGGATATGAGTAGTTTGTTTTGAATTTAACATGATATGTAAATCTACACATAGGTTATTTTTAAGTGCGAATCAGTTCATTATAGCTGTCATCTGTGGTGAGAAAATTGTGACCGGCCATACAACATGAAAAGCAACATACAACCTTTTGCAAATGCCACTCATAAAATGATTTGTAACAAAGTAATGGGTAGGAATAGTGATGGAAAAAATAACATTGAAAAAAAAAAAAACCCTGTGCAAAATTAGACTTAAAATGAGTAAAAAAAAAATTCACATATGCATTGTTATCAGTTTGAATATCACTGCATTATCAATACCACAATGTACACCAGACCCAAAAATCAACTGTACAAGAACATTTTTTTATTAATTTGGTTTTTATTTCACCTTTATTACTTTTATAAGTAACTCAAGGTAGCAAACGTACTTAATACTCCTTTCTCGTTCTATTTTCCCCACAACAACAGTCCAGTGATGGAGTGGCCCAAAGTCACCAAGCTGGCTTTTATGCCAAAAGTAGGATTAGAACTCATAATCTTCCGGTTTCTAGGCCAGCACCTGCACCACTATTCCAAACTGGCTCTCCGAACATTAGAACTGTATTAGGAAGCTAGAGTAACTGAATCTTACAAACCAGATTTTACTTTTCCTCCCCTCCTGCTTATATTCCAGTGGGACTGGCAGGGGCCTACCTGAGTCTGTTATTAATAATTTCTCCCTTCTTAGGATTTAAGAAAAGGTTTTGTCTCATTTCCCGACATAGTAAATATTTGCTTCAAAGCCATTTCTCTGCGTATCTGCAGGTATATTAGAATCAGAATCAGGGTAACAATTACGTTATGTGAGTTGTAGTACACTTGTCATGTTAAGTGAAGTCCATGTCAGTTAATTTTGAATAATATTGAAGCTATTCTTCTGTGGGTTATAGAATGTTTTAATCAGTGTAAAAAATGGCAAATAGGCTTCATATTTTTCCAAATTTCTGTGTTATATACCAGTGGTGGGTTCCTCCCGGTTCGGCCTGGTTCTCCCAAGCCGGTAGCGGTGACGATATGACATCATTGAACCGGTTCTGCCCCCCCCCGCAATCCCCCACCCCCCGTGTTATTCTTACCTTTTATTTGGCCCCATCCCCAATCTATTGCTGCCTCCTGAGTCCCAGCTGATGGCTAGAGGGAAAAAAACTGTTTAAACTCTTGCCGTGGGGCTTCAAAGGGCCGCCCTACAGCTGATCAGTGGTAAAAGAAAACAAATGAGTAGACCAGTGCCTGAAAAAATACATGAGTAGGTCAGTGCCTGCAAAAATAAATGGGTAGACCAGTGCCTGCTAAAAATAAATGGGTAGATCGGTACAGCTCTGCAAGCAGTTAAAAGCCTGGTAGACCAGTACCTCTGCTAAATCCTAAATAATTGTCACATGACCATCAAGCCACGCCCACAAAATAAACCACGCCCACAGAACCGGTAGTAAAAAAATTTAGAACCCACCCGTTATATACCTTTCATGATCCATGGTGGTGCAGTGGTTAGAGTGCAGTACTGCAGCCTACTTCTGCTGACTGCCGGCTGCCTGCAATTTGGCAGTTCAAATCTCACCAGGCTTAAGGTTGACTCAACCTTCCATCCTTCTGAGGTGGGTAAAATGAGGAGCCAGATTATTGGGGGCAATATGGTGACTCTGTAAACCACTTAGAGAGGGCTGTAAAGCACCGTAAAGCGGTATATAAGTCGTCAGTGTTATCGCTATTGCTATTCATCAAACCTTGTAAAACAATTTGCTGGATAACCTTTTCTGTTAGTATAGTATACAGATTCAAAAAGAACCTTTGTAAAGTGTATGAATTTCTCCTTCATGGTTTCCTTTTTTCAGCATGCTTCCTGAATCACCAAGATGGTTATATTCTCAAGGCAGAGTAGCAGAAGCAGAGCGTGTACTGCAATACATTGCTCTCCACAATGGGAAAGACAAGGTGGTGGTAAAACTGAAGCCATGCAAAGGAGTCATAAAGAAGGACGATTCCACCCCTGGGCTCCTCAACCTGGTTACGCATCCCGTCCTTCGATGGCGCACGGTCATTTTGATGTATATCTGGTAATTAATAAAAAAGAGTTGTTGACTTTACTTAAATTATCCCATGTACAAATAACAGCTTTGGGTGATAATTATGGACTACATAGATAAACGCATTTCAAAGTAATCAGAATAATATTAAGGGAAAATGGTAATGGTTGTTTTCTGGCTATTGGGAATCACTTCAGAAAATAGGTAGATAATTTTGGATTTTTGTTCCATTTTCCAAATTTCAGTAATTTCATTAACATGATACAAATCTTAACAAGATAGCTGCTGTGAGCAAGAAAAGGAATTAAATGTTGTATTGGCTTTCATTTGGATTTATTTATTCCTAAGGTTATATGCTTATATGAATAAGAGCTAAAAGAGTCCCTTTTTAAAAACAAAAAGATTTTAATTGGATAAAACCATCAAATGATACTGTTTGACAAAGGGTTTATCTTTACAATGGTACATACCCGTGATGGCGAACTTATGGCACGCATGCCGGAAGTGGCATGCAGAACCATATCTCCGGGCACGTAAGCAGTCACCTGTTGCTCTTCCGGGTTCTGGCACGCCAACCAACTGGTCTTCATGTGCATGGTAATGCCGGAAATCAGAAGAGCAGCCGCCTGGGGTGCATGCACATATCGGAAAGATGATCTTCTGGTTTCTGGCGCGCACATGCGCACCAGCCAGCTGGTCTTCGCGCACATATGTGTGCCAGAAACGGGAAGACCAGATGGCCGGTGTGCATGCATGTGCCGGAAACCGGGAAGATCATCTTCCCAACACGCGCATACGCACCAGGCAGCTGCTCTCCCCCATTTTGGCACTCAGTGCTGAAAAGGTTCGCCAACACTGGTATATACAGTCCACCTTCCTCTTTGTACACTCTCAGGCCACTCAGATGTGGCGTTCCATATGTCATGCCTTTATTAACAACTTCCAGACCTCTATTAAAGAGGGGGAAATTTATCTATACGCTGTATGACATCTTGCTTAACATTGACCAGTATGTGACCAATTTCATCATTACTTTGGACTCCTCAGGTATATGTACCCCAGATCTTTCTCTAGCAAGGTAGCCGCCTAGAGAACTATGTGGCTTTGTGTGCCTGAAGAACCCAATGTAACAATGCAGCTGGTCGCATTCTGCCTCCAAATTCTTCCCCAAAAAGAAATATACTGTATTTTTCGGAGTATAAGACGCACCTTTTTCCCCCCTAAAAGGAGGTGAAAATTTAGGTGTGTCTTATACACTGAATGTAGCCCCGCCCACCCACTGGCCCCCACCCTTTGGCCTCTGCCTCGCAGCAGTTACCTCCTTGCAAGCAAACAGCAAGAAAAAAACAGCTCCTTTCAGCTTCAGCACAGCCTAATTAGTGCAAGTTGATTGGATCGGCCTCCCGACAATCAGCTGATTTGCTCTCAGCTGTTTTGCGCAGGGCTCTGCTGCTTGCTGCAAAGAGGTAAATTGCTGGAGCAGATTTTTTTTTCCTTGTGCTATGCGGAAAAGGAAAATGAAAGTAAAGCAGGTTGTTTGCTTTTTGCTGCAACGAGGCAAAAATGCTCAGAGACAGAGGGAGATTTCTTTTTCTTCTTTTCCTCACCAAAAAAGGTAGGTGCGTCTTATACTCCGGTGGGTCTTATACTCCAAAAAATACAATAACAGAGAATTTTTACTGTGCAAGATTTAATATTTCTTGATGATCATCTTCATGTGGTTTCCTTTTGTCACAATGTATCCCGAAGTCTGATTTCCATTGTGCCCAAGTGTCATCTTCCCAAAGTTCTCTCAACAAAATTCTGCCAATAGCTGGAAGTCATGATTGGTTTTCTGCTGGTCTCTTCTCTTGATAGCGAAGCAGGAGGAAATGCCACCTCCCCTTCATAATGCTTTTTTCTCAGATGAAGATGATAGAAAGAGGACCGTATGCTGATCATGCAGCAGACTATGAAAGGAATGGACAGGTTTTCAGGACTTAGTCTGATTTATTAAAATTCAAGGATCACCAGACAAAACAAGTTTGAACGAATGAGTCAGAAACATAAGCATAATTAATAGGCAATTACCCCTGCTGAGCTACTCCAAACTAAACCTATCTCAAACTCTTTGTTTTTTTTCCTTTTGTGGATAAATGGTGATTCAAGGCTTTTCCTTAATCTCTACTAGAAATGGCAGAAATTATGAGAAAACAGGAAGGAATGAGCTAAATGTTTTGCAGCTAGCTGAAATGAAAACTGGTATACTTGGCATTTTGATATTTCCTTGGAATTTCTACTGGATATGTAAAGCTATTATTTACGACACTTCTTGGTGTATTTGAAGAATTCTTATAGAGGTTGTTTTACAGTTGAGAAGCAGTGATGGAATGGTTGGAATAGCTGTTATTTAATGGCTATCAAAACCTCTATTCGTCTTCCCAAGTTAGTTTAAGCCACCCTAGAAAAAAATTCAGAAGCATATTTCTCAATGGATTTCAGATTTTAAAAACACCTAAAGAAATCCGTCAGAAACTATTTCTTGTTTGATCATTGTCAGTGAACAAACGTGTATAACTTATTTATTCTACCAAGCCGGCCTAGCCTAAATGGCTCTTAATTGGGATTTTAAATTTTATGGACTTGGAGGGTTTTAAATTGGGAAGCCAATGATTTAATTTTTTTAAATTATCTTAACTTTTGTATTTGTATGTTTTTTAATTTTGGCTGTTCACCGCCCTGAGTCCCTTCTGGGAGAAGGGCGGTATACAAATTAAATAAATAAATAAATAAATAAATAAACAAACAAACAAACAAACAAACAAACAAACAAACAACAATTTTGCACTTGTTTTTAAACAGTCAGGTTTTGGATCAAATACCGGTGATCTGAACTATTCATGTTATAGGATCCTTTGCCTTGAAATAAAACCAGAATAGTCCATGATAGCAAACACATACATGAATGTATGGTAAATTTGTTGATTTCTATCCACTGATTTTCGAATTCAAATTCTAGTGGAAAAAATAATTTCCAAATTTTGTGAAGGTATGTGAACATATCATAGTTTGGTGTAATGGTTAAGACTAAGACATCAGGCTAGAAACTGGGAGACTGTGAGTTCTAGTCCTGCCTTGGGCTCAAAACCAAATGGGTGATCTTGGGCTAGTCACTTTCTGCCTCATAGAAAGAGGCAGTGGCAACCCAATTAAAAACCTAGCCAAGAAATCTGCAGGGACTTGTCCAGGCAGTCTCCAAAAATTGGACAGAATTGAATGGAATAAAAAAAATGCCATACTTAGTACATGAGCCTTGGTGGAGCAGCGGACTAAAGCGCTGTTAAGTAGCACTTAGCTTCCAGCTGCCTGCAATTACTGCGAGTTCAAATCTCACCAGGCTCAAGGTTGACTCATCCTTCCGAGGTAGATAAAATGAGGACCTGGATTGTGGCGGCAATAAGCTGATTTTGTATAAAAAAGAACACCGCTTGGTGGTTCCTACTAAGTCCTACTAAGCAGGTATATACAAAAGTATGAAGGCTATTGCTTAACGCATTGTAAGCCGCCCTGAGTCTCCGGAGAAGGGCGGTATATAAATCGAACCAATAAATGAATGAATAAATAAATAAATGATCTATAACCTCACTGCTTCATAAGCTGGTATTTTTCTATTATATTTTTCTTCATTTATTATGCGAGTAATTAAATCTTACATAATCTGTGTACATGATTAAAATAACCAATCTTTCATTAATACATTTAGGTATGTGTGCAGCTTTGTATATTACGGTTTAACACTGAATGCTGGTGAATTAGGAGGAAATCTTTATTTAAATGTGGCTCTTTCTGGTCTTGTAGAAGTTCCAGCATTTCCACTCTGCATGTTTTTCATTGAGAAATCTTGGTAAGATCAATAACTTTCTATTTCTATATTTAGACAGTACAGTCTAGAGTAACATAGCTCCTGAATTTATTTCTATATGTTAATTAATTTGTATACGTTTTCAGCATAGATAAAATGTATCAAATCTGCTCAGAAATGCTGATTTTTTTTTATGACTTAATAGATCACACTTCTTTTTATTTTACAATAGAATATAGAATAACAGGGTTGGAAAGGACCTTGGAGGTCTTCAATCCTGTCAGGGTTCCAAGGAACACCCCCAACGAAATAAAGCTCTGAAGCCTGAGGTTCCTCAAAGTTCCAATTTATTAGAGATGTCATGTTGGCACATCTGGGAAAACCCGAATCTGAAAGCTTCCAGGTTTTCCCCACCCAGCTAAGAGTTCACAGCCCTGCCCCACACCCACAAGTTCATCACATTGTCCAATCAACTCTTCACACTCAACTGGATACAATCTTCCGGCAGTCTCCATCAGATGCAGGCAAAAGTCCTTGAATACGGAATGTTGTTATGACTAACTTTCTACTGCTCCAACAACAACTCCCTCCCAACTTCCCCAGCTAAAATATGTGGCAGTTTAGAAGCAAAAAAGAAAATTGTCTTCCAAAACTGACATCCCCTGCTCAAGCAGGAGACCCCTGGACAAGTGGTTGTCTAACCTCTTCTTGAAAACTTCCAGTGATTAAGCACCCGCAATTTCTGGAGATAAGCCATTCCACTGATCAATTGTTCTCACTGTCAGGAAATGTCTCTCTTTAAAAATCACCTGTTACTTCTTGTCCTGTCTCAGTTACTTTGGAAAACAGGTTGACCCTTTCTTCTGTATGACAACCCCTCAAATATTGGAAGACTCCTATCATATCATATCCTTAGTCCTTCTTTTTGTTAGACTAGACATACCTAGTTCCCGCAACTATTTATTGTACTGTTTAGCCTCCAGACCCCTAATCATCTTTGTTTCTCTTTCTCTGCATTCTTTCTAGAATCTTAGTATCTTGTTTGCATTGTGGTGACCAGAACTGGATGTGATATTCCAAGTGCAATATAAAGTGCAGTATTAAGTATATTAAGTATACTGCACTTAACCAGTGCAGTATAAAGCAGTACTATCAGTTCATTTGATTTTGATACTATCCTTCTGTTGATACAGCCTAGGGCAGTGATGGCTAACCTTTTTGCCATCGCGTGCCAGGAGAGGGGGGGCGGGGGAGGGTTGCGCGCGCACGTGCCCACGCGCATGCACACGCAACCCCACCCATCCCCACTCCTGGCACATGATGTCCTGGTAGGCCCGTTTTTCTTTCTTACCTGGTTCCAGATCCTCTCTATGCATCTGGGAAGGGAGAAAACAGCCTGTCCCACTCCCTTGGAGGCCCTACAGAGGCTGAAAGGGCCCATTTCCCAACTCTTGGTGGGACAGGAAGTGACATTTTTTGCTGTCCCCAGTCTCCAGAACCTCTCTAGGAGTCTCTAGGAGCCTCTCTAGGAGTGGCTGTCTACTATGACACCTAGATCCTTCCTATAAGCACTTTTCTTCAGCCAAGTACCACCTATTCTATACTTGTGCATTTGATTATCTCAAAATGAAATGCATATGTATAGGAAAAAAACCCTTTCTTACCACTGAATTGCATTTTGTTGGATGGAGCCTAATGTTCAAGTCCGTCAAGATCCTTTTGTATCTTGACTCTATCTTCTAAAGTGTTTCTATTCCTCCCAGATTGATATTGTTAGCTGATTTGATGAGTTCCCCTTCTAGCCTCTTGTTTAAACCATTTATAAAGATGTTGAAGATTACTGGGCCCAAGTTAGAACCTTGAGGTACCCAACTGCATGCTTCTCTCCATGTAGATGTAGTTCCATTAAGGATTTACGCATTGAGTGCAGTTGGTCAGCCAGTTACAAATCCATCTGGTGGTGGTGCTGTCTATCCCACATTTTTCTATTTTACCAAATAATAGGTTGTGGTTTATTTTGTTAAATGCAGAAATTTCTCTGATCCATTAATTTAGGCACTTTGTCAAAGAATGCAATAAGGTTTTTTCCCCGGCATGATCTGTTTTTAACATACGCATGTTGGGTTCTAGTAATAGCTTTGCTCATTTCTAGGTGCTCGCAAATCCACTGTTTGATGATCTTTTCCAGGATTTTCCCAGGTATTGATGCCAGACTGATTGGTCTACTGTTTCCTGGATCCATTTTTTTTCTTTTTGAAGACAAACATTTTTTAAGAAACAAACATTTTGTTTGTTCCAATTGATTTAAAACCATTTATTTAACAATGGTTCAAAGTTACAACAGCACTGAAAATAAAAGACTTACGACTGTTCCTCAAACTTAAGACTTGTCATGTGATCAAAATTTAGTTACTTTTAAAAAGGTCTTAGTAATTGTACAAATCTATGACCAGATCAAAGCTTCGTTCTGAAAAGATATATTTTATGTTTGTGTTTTTAAAAATAAAAAAACTTTTTCTAAAAAAAAAAATAGTTACTTGGCAACTACAGTAGTGGTCAAAATTGTGGAAACCTTTTGGGAAAAGTGTATTTTCTAAAACTAGCTAATACCACTTTTTTTTTTAGTAGTACCATAAAATTATATATCAATAGAAAGATAATTTAATCAAGAATGTAATGCAATAACTTTTATGAAGGATTTGCTATTAGAATAGCGGTTACAGTATAAAGAAGAAAAGTGAAACCATAGAAAAAACGCGATATACAAAAATTATCATGTCAGTTAATACTTAGTTGTGTAACCTTTAGCATGAATTATGGCCTTACAACGTCTTCCCATGGGGTGAACCAAGTCTTTTAGTTCTGCAGCTGTTCTAATGTGAAACCAAGATTGAATGATTGCTTCTATTAACTGGGTTTTATTGCTGGGTTGCTTCTGACTAACATGTTTCTTTAGTCGGCTGCATAGATTTTCAATTGGGTTAAGGTCTGGGCTATTCCCCGGCCATTTTAGCAGTGGAATATGATTATCTTGAAACTCCCCCCAAAAAGTGGTGTTATTAGCCATCAAACCTCAAAAATACATTTTTCCCAAAAGGTTTCCACAAATTTGTGGATTGTACATTATACATTATACATTTGGCCATGTATTTACAACAATTGCCAGGGTGATGTGACCATCATTAATGAGCTTCTCAGGGGGGTTCCAACAAGCATAGTCAATGGGGGAAGCCAGATTTATTTAATGACTGTCTGATTTGCTTAACAATCATAGTGATTCACTTAATGACGGCAGCAAAAATGTTTAAAAAATTGAGCACAACTCATTTAATGACCGCAACAGCGATGGACATTCCAGTCCCGATTGCGGTCATAAGTCAAGGATAACCTGTAGACTATAGATGGGGTATAACACTCAAAATAAGAATAAGACACTAAATATTGGTAGTTATAAATAGAAATAGGCTTTATTCCGTTAAACCGGACTGTGGGCCAAATACCCACTGAAACTGTGTTACTGTCAGGGTTCCAAGTAATAGACCCATATCGAGCAAAACTCCAAGGCAGGTAGATTCCTCAAAGAATAGATTTATTGAATATCTCATGTTGGCACAGCTCTGGTGAAAACAGATTCTGAAGGTTCCCGCAGTTTTCACCTAATTAAAAGAGTTTGTCACTTTCTCAAAACAATCAGTCACATGGTCGAATCACAGTGCTGTCTGGTTGCCTGGTGACATTACTCCGCCTTCCTCTGACCATTTGTGAGAATGTCCTTGGTTCTCAAGAGAAAGTCTTTTGTTTTGGCTACAAAATCCCAGCTATCTAAAATTCCCCCTCCCTGTCCCTTAGCTCCAGTGTGGCAACACTGAAGCTGTCAAGATGGCTTCGGTCAGGTCAGCTTCAGGGTTGACAATTACTTTGGTTAGTGTTCAAAATGCCTGTAGTGACTGTCCTGCAGGCAGAGAGGGATCCGTTGAAAAGTCCAATCAGCTGTGTCCCTTGATTGAGATGGGCTTTCCCCAGGTGGCTGGACCAGACATGGAATTTATTCTGTCATGTGTTGTTTGGTGACTTGCAGATCTGCACCAAAAAAGTCTTTGAAAGTGAGAGCCAGCAGCCTGGATTGGGCCCAGAAGCTGTTGGCTTCAGAAGTACAGGAAATGAACTTTGTGTGAAGAGCTAAGCGTAAAATTTAGATCACCAATTATTATTTCTCCATAAATTACTCCTCTCTTGAAATGCAGAAACAAATATTTATTATTTGCCTACATTATTCTGTTGGTGAATGCTTGCCCTTTTGCAGTTTAGGTTTGGTGTTTTTTTTTTAAACAGTTGTATGGAATAATAAATAAAAGTATTCTAAAACATGTATCTTTCTGGAAATCCAATATAAATTTGCACTATTTTCCTGCATTAGGTCGGGAAGACGTAAAAGTACAGCTACTTTTTTGATATTTGCGGGCCTTGCTTGTGTTTTTACCATGTGCTTACCAGAAAATAACAGCAGTAAGTATGTTCTTTCTTAAGCAAACCAAATTTTCCTTGGCACAGATAATCTTATTGAAAGACAAGGGTATGCTAATATCAAGCCAGGTTTAAATAATTTTAAAAATAAAATAAATTAAAATCAAATCTAGAATAGCCTTTTCAAATGAACAAGATTATTGCTAAATAAAGACTTTATTGCATGCCCAGTTTTAATTTAATGGGGGATGAGTGTATATAGAGCTATTAATGATACTTTGAGAAGCTGCCACATAGAATCAATGTGAAATAGTAGTACTTTTTTTTATTAGTATTGTATACTGCTAAACCATGAATAGGTTTTTTTCTTCAATCATTGGCAATCTTTGAAGTATCCTGCAGCTCATTTGCTTTCTTCTTTTCCAAGGTACCAGATAATTAGTAAGAATCTCAGGGAAAATGATCATATTTGCCATGAGTGTCTCTCTATACCAGTGATAGCTAACCTTTTCCGGACTGAATGCCCAAAGCGCAAGCGTGCAAATGTGTATGCGTGTGCCTGAACCCCCAAGATGCAATGTGCACATGGCCCTCCCGCATGCCCCCTGCCCCCTGTTTGTATCACTCGTATTTATTTATTTATTTATTTGAATTTATATACTGCCCTTCTCCCGAAGGACTCAGGGCGGTGTACAGCCAGAATAAGAACACACAAATAGAAAATTTAATAACAATTTAAAATATATATTAAACAATATGGCCTGTAACTAATTAAAAACCCATTTTTAAACCTCAAGAATTAAAAATTAAAGATTAAAAATTAAAAAGAATTAGAATTAGGCCAGCCCGGCTTGTTTACTGGAAGTATCTCCATAGGGCTATAATAAGATGGTCCATCCTTATTGGCAAGAAACTCTCAAGCAAACATTTTTCAGTGTATGATGTATATTTGTGAATAATTACTTTCTGCAGACAAAGCCTATAAGAAAAATTCAGGTATAGATAAGTATTACCTTGATTCCAATGGCGGTGACCAGGCAAAATTTGAAAGTTTAAGCAGTGGATTCAGATGGCTAACTCATAAAATGGCTTTTCACAACTTTCTGTTTTAGTGATCTTGCAGTGCAGTATTACCATTTATTGGTAATAATTGAGAGCTGCCTTGAAATAAAGTAGCCAGAATTGCAGCTTTCTGAAGTTATAATCTATAGCCGTGATGACGAACCTATGGCACGCGTGCCCAAAGTGACACATGGAGCCATGTTGTCTGGAACACATGTTGCCCATCCAGCTTCCGGATTTCTGGCGTGCATGTGCGCGTGATGATCAGCTGCCCTTCGTGCGTGCGTCAGTGCCGGAAACTGGAAGAGCTGGTTTTCTGGCATGAGCATGCGCACCGGCCAGCTGATCGTTGTGCGCGCATGCGTGCCAGTAACCGGAAGACTAGCTGCCCGTTGCATATGTGCGTGCTGGAAACCGGAAGTTCATTTTTTGGTGCGTGCATGCCTCCTGGGCAGCTCCTCTTCCGGGTTGCGGGCAGACAACTCAGTGCTGAAAAGGTTCACCATCACTGATCTATAGCATTGGAGATGTTATCCAGATGACATGCAGGCCTTTCCCTTGTCCCCAGCCAAGCACCCTTATGCCCACCAGTAAGGTGTAATTTAAAATTAGAGTTGTTTTCCCTTTGTGCTAATTGCAGGTTGCTCTGCACAGAAGGTATACATCTGCCTGAACCTCAGGAGGGGTTTATTTCTAAATAGAGCTGCCTATTATTCTACTGTTGTTTATTAGAAGATGTCAATTGTCCTACGTTCTGTTTAAGGATTTTTCTTCAGTCCCAGAATTTTGGCTTTATATGGGAAATTGACTGTAAGTGCTGCCTTCAACATCGTATACATCTATACTTCAGAGCTGTATCCCACAGTAGTAAGGTAAGCAGACATTGTTATTTTTATATTTATTTCCAAAACCTTAAATTCTCACAATATATAATGTATATAAGCCATCTAAAATCACATCAGCAGTTACATATTGCAGAGAAACCTTCACGCTCCTGAATTAGATGTCGGAGCTATCTGTAAAAAGTATCTTCTATAACAGTGATGGCTAACCTTTTTGCCATTGCGTGCCAAAAGTGGGGGGAGCACGGTGGGGTCGCTTGTGAGTGTGCCCACATCCATAATTCTATGCGCCCCACCCCCATGCGCTCCCCCCTGCTCCCCCCCCCGCTTTTGGCACACAATGGCACAGTGGGCCCGGTAGGCCCATTTTTCGCCCTCCCCAGGCTCCAGAGGCTTTAGGTCCCACTGGAAATAGACCTAAACCTCCACCGGAGGACCGTTTCCGACCTCCGGTGGGGGTAGGGAAGGCCGTTTCCACCCTCCAAGCTCCTAGAAAGGTTCTGGAGCCTGGAGAGAATGAAAAATGGGCTTTCCCCCGCCTCAGGCCCTCCGGAGGCAGGAAACAGTCTGTGTCCCTACTTCTGGTGGGCTCAGAAGGCCCCAAAATCAGCTGGCGCACCGGAGCTGAACTCACATGCCCACTGATATGGCTCCACCTGCCACCTGTGGCACGTATGCCATAGGTTCGCTATCACAGTTCTATAAGAATCTCTTGCTTCCAGAGATGGATGCACAGTGCTCTTCAGTGGATATTTCTTGTCTTGTCTCAGAACGATCAAGCTTCCTCTTCTCTTGTGAATGATGGCAAATTAAGACATGTAGTTATTTCCCTATTAATGTTAAAATGTTGGAGGAGAAATGAGAGAAGAAGCCACTCTTAAGATGTAAAGAAAGGACAAAAATATGGCTGAAAGGATATTTCATTCTACATGTACTTTCAGATTTCTTTCTAGTAAGCTATCCAGTTTTACATTATCTGCTTTTATTTATGTATTTGTATCCTGCCTTTATTATTTTAGAAATAACTCAACATAGCGAAGATATCCAACACACCTTACTCCTCCTATTTTCCCCACAACAACCACCTATTTATTTAATAAAATGTTGTTTGAGGTAATATTGCAGGTCATTTTGAAATTATTCCTCTCTTTTGAAAATATTTTTTGATTGCACAGGACATTGAAGAACATAAATATGGCAATTTATTGCCATCTAGTGGTCTGTTGTAATCCTGTGCATCTCACAGAACAGAGTTATCACATGAGTATTATGTGAAACAAACGAAAGTGCCCAGGCTGCAACATTTTAGTACAATGTCTGCTTTTGAATGAATTTTGAGGGAAGCTCCCTATAAAGCAGGGGTGTCAAACTGGCGGCCTGCAGGCCGGATGCGTCATGTGCAGGCCACGCCCATCCCGGCTCCCCAAAGGCAAAAAACATCCTATGTCATGTGACGCGATGAGTTTGACACCCGTGCTATAAAGCATGTTACATTAAACCAATTGGAAGATATATAGTCATCATGAATAGGACCTTCCAGTCCAGAAATGGGCACAATTTGTGCATAACATGAAGCTGTACAAAGTCTCCCCTCCCCCCCCCCCGAAGCAAGAGCTGTAAATGACTTGGCTTCTAGTTATCCGAAAAAAATGTCTTTTTCCAGGTGTTTCTACCCATCCAATACAATCTCAACTGATTGGGCATCATGCAGATGCCATCAGCCAAAGAGTGTCGACTGAGGGGAACTAGAAGATGGGTGTTTTGTGCTGTAGCCCCTGCCTGATGGCATATTCTCCCTTTGGAGATTAGAATGGCCCCAGCTCTGTTGGCTTTTTGCAAAATTTTAAAAATTAGACTTACCGTAGTTTTTGGAGTATAAAACACAGTTTCCCCCCCCCTAAAAGAGGGTGAAAATTTGGGTGTGTCTTATACACCAAAGAAGCCCCACCCACCCGCTGGCCCCCACCCTTTAGCCTCTGCCTCCCAGCAATTTACCTCCTTGCAGCAAACAGCAAAAAGCCTGTTTCAGCTTCAGCACAGCCTGATTAGCACAAGCAGTTGATTGTCGGTTGGATCGGCCTCCCGACCCTCAGCTGTTTCAGGTTGCAGGGATTGCCATTGTCTATTGCCACGTGGGCCTTAGCTGTTTACTGCAAGGAGGCAAATTGCTGGGAGGCAGGTTTTGTTTTTTTCTTGTGCTAATCAGGCTATGATGAAAATGAAAATGAAACTAAAGCAGGCTGTTTGCTGCAAGGAGGCAAATTGCTGGGAGGCAGAGGCAGTTTTCCCCCCCCAACCAAAAAAGGTAGGTGCGTCTTATAGTCCGGAGCGTTTTATACTCCGAAAAATACGGTATGTGCGTGGGGCTGGGGCTCAGAATAGGTTAAGGGTTCTATTACTTGACTTTACTGTTAGTTAATTAATCATTGTGGTTGCTATTTATTTATTTTGTGGAGGTTTTTTATAGTTTTAACATTTTAAAAATTGTTTAAATTGTTTTATAATTGTTGTGGCCTGTCAGCCACCTGCCCCTCTGCTGAATCAGATGAGGAGATGGCATGGGAGTCATGGCCAGTATCAAGGCAACCTGAGAGTTTCAAGGGGGGGAGTGGGAATGGAGCTGTCAGAGATAGAGGCAGAGGCGGAGCCTGAGCCCTCTGTCAGCCCTCAGATGAAGAATCAACAGCCCCCAGGTCTGGAGGCAGCTGACGAGGAAGAGGTGGAACAGCTGGGTCCAGTGCCTGATGCGCGGATGCACAGAAGGCAGAGGAGAGGAGAGCAGTGGAAATCTATGGGCCGGTCCTTGGGACAGAAGAGCCACCGCTGCTAGCGAAGCCCCACCCTAGCTCTGGGGATAAAAGGCAGGGGGTGGAGATAAATAGGTGTGGCAGACAACTATTCATCTCCCTGCTGGAGAGACTAGTTGGCCTGCTGTGTGAGAGAGAGAGAGACTATTTGGCATGGATCAGTATATTAGTCTTGCTTTTCCTTAGGATAAATACTAACAGTGGTATTTCTTTTTTGAAACAGAAATGCTGGTTTGGGTGTATGCTCAATGATTTGTAGGTTTGGAGGAATTTTGGCTCCATTTGTTCCTTCCTTGGTAAGTAATATACTATCTGCAGTATATCCTGTTTAATCAAACTTTCAAATCAATTAACAGGATTGATCCTTCATATGCAATAATTTTAACATGTGATAGTTAATCAGAACTTGCAGGCTTATATTTTTTTACCAATATTTGTCATCATGATATATATGTGACTAATACATTTTTTGCCCAGCATTTCTTTGGTAAATATACCAAAGTACATTTGAATAAGTCTGATTAAGATTTAGACGAACATATAAAATGCATAGCCTTCTTATGTTAATGGGAAGTTGAAAATCGGCATGGCCAGAGGTTTATGGCCAGAGGATTAGCAAGTGAAGCTTAACAGTAGAATGAGATGCCGTGGCAGATGAAAATATGTTACAGAGGAAAGAATTAAATGTCTCATTTTTTGCCCTTTTGGTTTTATTCCAATTTTGGCATCCCCTCTCCTATGACTGCTTTTTACAATAAAAATGAACCTTTCAAGATATCCAATTTTAGATCATTGGTCTAGTTTGGATCTGAGCCAGGAATTGAATATGGGGAAGCTGATCGGAGAGGCTTCTATAGAACAAGTAGATTTTCTGCCCCTGAACTTAATTGCAGAAAACCTTCCTCAAATCTTCACTCTTGATCTTTTCCTCATTCTTAAACCCTTGGAGCTTTTCATTTCTCTGCTTTTCAGCACTGAATAACCAGCAACTTGGTTTTTATTCTGTGACAACCTCTGAATACATTAATTGGATGTGAAATATGCTTTATGTTTCTTATTCATAAATTATATACGTATATATCATGTGTAGAATATCAGGATCATCCGGTAAAGTTGCAGCGTAAAAAAACAATTATTCAAGCCCATACATAAGAATCTAGGCAACTAAAGTTCAAGACTAAATTGCCACCAAATAAGGGTCAACAGAATCCAGGAAGGGTAAGACTTAGTCTGTTTGTGGAAACATAACAACTCTAAGCTGATGATATGCTTAATTCTGCCCCCAGTTCTGTCTTCTCCTCTCCTACAGTATATTTGCTTATGGTGTATGGGTAGGGGAATTATTCTAAGTTAAGAAAAATCCTCAGAATATCAATAGGAAGGAGATTGATATGTACATCACTTTGAATTCTGGCACTGAATTGTCATGCTTGTTTTTTATTGTCCCTTAGACTTTTTGGGGGGGGTCTGTTTTCTGTACTTCACAAAACTCTACTATATGTGTGTGTGTGTGTGTGTGTGTGTATACACACACACACACACACACACACACACATATATGTATATATCCTATTTATATATCACTGCAATTCAATGAAGACTTTTTAAATAACTCTTATCTACCTATTTATATTATTTCATAACAAATAATTTAACTGATTCCTTCTAGAAATCTCTTGGTCCATCTGTACCATTTGGAGTCTTTGGAATCAGTGGATTATCAGCTGGTTTTTTGACTCTTCTACTTCCAGAAACCCTGAACAAACCAATTGCAGAAACTATTGAAGATTTGCAGATGCCTGTCTATCAAATACTTAAAAACAAAAAGGCAGAGTAAACACAATTATTTTTTCTGTGTCTTCTGTGCTACTGGAAATCTGTCTCACTTATTTGAAATAATCTATTTTATTTAACTACAATAGATGATTCAGTATCTGACTCCATGAACAGTTCAGGATTTCCCAATTTCCATTCACTCTTCTAGTTAAAATTCTTAAAAAGAAAAATGATTAATAAAAGCTTTTGCAATTGTTAATTGTCTTAGTGTCTGTTGAACTGAATTATCATAAATTTCAGCAAGTTCATTAGTTTTAAAAGAATGGTATTTATGGCTCTGGAAAGCTACCAATATTTAATGTAAACCATGGGAAAAAATGTTAACTTTATTAGTAACTGTTGCTTATGAATAGTGTCTTGGTGCTAATAGCTAGTCATTTTAGATCTGAATTGTTGCATTGTGTCTTCTGTGAAACTATTAAGAACTTTTGGATTCTAGACATTATGACTGCCCGAACGTATCTTATCTTTTCTTTTATGTACACTGAGAGCATATGCACCAAGACAAATTCCTTTTGTGTCCAATCACACTTAGCCAATAAAAATTCTATTCTATTCTATTCTTTTCCTTCCCTATCTGCTACCCATTAATGTTCTTTTTTGTAATTTGTGTCTGAACTTGTAAGGAGGAATTATTTTTTAAATTCTGTAACCTATTAAATTGGTATTTGGTTAATTCTTATAACAACTATCCTAATTGATTTTTTCATCTGTTTAACAGGTAAATCAGTTAGAAGAAAACTTTTAGTTTTGCAAAAAATATCTTGGTTGAAAATTTCAGTTGTTGAAGTATGCTGCCATCAAGATTATCACTTTGCGACATTCAAACCTATTTTCCTATTTCCAGAATGATCAATGTCTCATGTAAACATAACTTGTGAAGATGTGGAGAGGGAGAGGTAAAAATTAATGAGAAAATTTAATGGCCTAAATCAATTTTTCAAATGCTGTATACTGAGTGTTTTAAAACATTCATCATTACTTGTGGTTTCATTTAGTAAACAGATAGGATAATTATTCTTTAAATGTATAAATTATTGGGGATTTGATTACAATTCTAAATAAGCAGTCAGAAAAATGACCATTAATTGTGTGATATTCTGGGCTCAGCATATTGGAATTAATATTACATTGATGCTTATAGTATCTTCAGATTGGAAGATTTTTCAGACCTGGAATATGCCATTTTGCTTTGGCTCTTAATTTTTACAGAATCTTGTTGCCAATATTTTTATATTAATGATTTTGGATGGTCTACCATATTTATAAACACCAAAGAACTGGTGATTTGTTACTGTTTTAACAGTTGTTGCAATATACACCATATGTAATCTGAAATTAAAATTAAAGAGACTGTATCTCCTCGCTAGGTAAGTATCAGATTGTAGGATTTATGTTTAGCAGGTGTCATTTTTATATACCCAAAAAACAAAATAGATATTGAATCTAAAAATCTGCCAGATATGAAAAGCTCTGTTCTGAAGTCCTTTAGCATGGAAAAAGAAAATCATCACTCCAAAAAATTATTTGTCCATGAAACTTCAAAAACTCCTGCAGAAACAGAAGGGTGAGAAATGGATTCTGCAGAACTGACCACAATATAATAATATACTGGCTCCTGCACACTATGAGCACCTGAGGCCTTACATACACCTCTTTTTCTTTGATGTGTAGGTCCTTGAATGTAACACTTGCCAACTCAGTTTCTTGTCATTGTCTGTTTTTCATTTATGAGGGAAAATGTAGAAGCTAAAATGAATTTTTGACAATCTGTTATCCCCAGGCCATAGTTGGCTGTGTTGAGGACTTAGACAAACTTCTTTCAGATCATATTTTCCTCTGGATGAGATTCATGTGGCAGTTACAGATCATGATTTAAAATTTACAGTCAATTTAAAAGGAAACAAAAAAAAAAACATCCCAGGCTTAATGAAGTATAGCCTATTTTGGCTTAAATACTATATATTTTCAGTGCTCTCTAGTAAAATGGACCATTTTTATAACTTGGAGGTAAAATATATTTGATGGAATTATTCTAGATGTCGGTGTGTGCCCTTCTAAACATAAACATAAATGATTAGCTTTTATATCTGATACTGCTTGTGATGGAAAACTTTATAAATTATATTTTTATAATGAAATGGAATATGAAATACTAAAAAGAATATTTTTCCTATGGAAGCAAAAGTGAATTGTGAAGGTAGCTTTTCCTTTTACAAAAAGTCATGATGCATTCTGTCCTTTTATTTCAATTATGTAGAAAATGGCTAATAAATGCTGTGGTTTCATACTGTCCTGCTAAGATTTTGTGTTTTGGGGGTAAAAGCAATCTATAGTGCTAACATCCTGCCGTTTGTATTTGTGCAGCAAAATCATTTAAGCCTGTTAGGAATAAGGACAGGCTGGGCAAACACACTTTGCATAATATAGCTGACAGAAACAGAAGCTACTAATAGTTAATAATGAGAAATTGGGGAGCTGATTTACTCTGCAGAGTTGAAAAATGTGGTTCGCTAATTTGAAAACCAAACAAAAACCCTACTAAAAGAATTAACCGAATCCGATTTGTCCTTCTGCTTATATGAAATAAGGGAGTGTTTGATTTCAGCTGTGCTGTTTTATTGACTCACTGATGTGCTGAAACACACAAACTTATTGATAATGCTCAAGGATCTCTGTCTTGCCTCAGAGTTAACAGTGATTTTCCAGGCAAACTGTGATCATAATGGGAAATGCAAGGGTCATAACCACAGGAGACAGGCTGCTTCAAAGATTATCCTTTTTACGACCACAATTCAGCTCAAAATTTCTGTTGCTGAGCGAGACAGTTTGTTAAGTGGGTTTGGTTCATTTTACAATCTTTTGTTCTACAGTTGCAAAGAGAATTGATGCTAAGTTAGTGATGTGGTTGTAAAGTGAATCTGGCTTCTCCATTGACTTTGCTTGTCAGAAGGTTGAAAAAGCGTGATCACATGACCCTGGGACACTATGACTGCCATAAATACATGCCAGGTGCTTAAATGTCTGAATTTTTATCACGTGACTTTGGGGATGCTGCAACAGTTGTAAGTGTGAAAAGTGTCATAAGTCACTTTTTTCACTGTTGTAAATTCAAACGGTCACCAAACAAATGGTTGTAAGTCAAGGATGTAGCAGCAAAGAGAGCAGAGTTCAGCTCAGGCTTGCCATTGGCCCCGTCCCTCTCTAGCATGGGTTTGAAGGTCCTAGGCCTCCAGCCCAACCAAAGCATCCTGGCACAAAGCTACTCAAGTAGAAAGAGCAGCTCCCTCTCAAGCAAATTGTTAGGCTCCGATTTAGAGGCATCTTTTTAAAGACAAAGAATGTAGAAGTCAAAGGAGTCAGTTGTGACCCATCTTGTAAGCCGAGCCTTGCCTGGCTCTTGGGGTGGTGTTAATCTTTATTTTAGTTGATTACCCCGGTGTTGCCCAGGTATTTATTTATCCCAATCCTGTATCCCCCTTACCAGAGGGAGCCCCCTTGTGGAGTACTGCGAAGCTGTTACCATGGCAACTCCACTGTGCTTTACAGTAGAAGCCATTTTAAGGCACAACAAGCTGTATCTTAACAGAACTTGAATCCAAAATGCACACTGTCACTGTCAAAAGTACTGTGATTTGACACTATAGATATAGTTCATTCATTTTCATTTCAGCAGCCCAGGCATTCCAGAGTTATGCTGGAACATACACACACACACACACACACACACACACACACACACACACACACACAGAGGGGTATGAGGGATGTCTTACCACCACAATATTTATTTCCAGAGAGTAAGTCATCTGTGTACCAAGTTTGGTTGAAATTGCTCGAGGTGTTCCAGTGTTATGCTGGAACACATGTGTGCGCGCACACACACACACACATTTTTATACATATATAGATTGTTTAAGCCACTGGTGGAAGCAAAGAAATACTTACCTAAATTAGGGGTCTCCAACCTGTGGGCCACAGCCCACTAGTGGGCCATTAGGGGATGGTAACCAGGCTGTGGAAATGGCTGGCGACCATGTGTGCACACATGCGCATCAGTTGCATGAACAGCAGGCAAGCGCGTGCATGTCACTTGCGCAGATGGACTTGCATGCAGACACGCATGCTTGCTGGCCACTCATGCAGAACCATCCCCCCCCTCCCGCCCCCCCCCCCCCACCGGTCCACAAAGCCGGAAACGCTGGGGAACTCCGATCTAAATGATAAAATAGAATCCTTCATTGGGAAAATGAGATGGCCTGGGATCACAGCTCACTTTCGAACTGACAGAGCGATGGCACCAAGGAAATGATCAGATAGAATTTTCTTGGATTTTTAAAAAATTGTGAAGGTGTATCTTTTTGAGTATGTTTTGCCTATTTAAAGGTTACACTACACCTTTAGGTTACACTATATGCTTCTAATTTTGAAATATGCCACCTGTTTTCTTATTCACATATGATTTAGCAATTCAGTATGAATGTGGTACAAAAGCAGTTTTGCGGGGCTGCTGCCCATTTCCGTTTGATGTACTTACAAAAACATTGCAATACTCAATACTTTGGTTAGTCTAAGTGGAGGTTTACCAGGTAACCAAGTTGTTAAGTTACCACTCAGAATTTTTATTTTCTTAAAATTTTTGTGCAGTTTATTAGGGATCCAGAACCATTCAGATGATTAAAGATGATGGTTCGCAGCAGATTGCCTTCATTTTCCTGTTTCAATTTTAGAAACTGAGATGGGAAATTTGGCAAGCGCTCCTAGGTGCCCACCACCACTGTTTTGCCTCCTTTTCAAAAACAAATACTGGCACTCCATGACTGAACTGGCCATGGTGCCACAATAGTTTTGATTTACCATTGGCTGAATAACAAACAACTTTGGCTTCCTTGAGAGCAAGTCCCTTCGCTTGCCCTCAAGGAAGTCAATGCTGTTCGTTATGGACAATTTAAGGCCCGCATCATGTATTGTTATCCCAAGACCACAAGCAACAAATAACTAATGCAAGTACCCAAAGGATTTGCATTCTAGCACAGGGGTGTCAAACGACGTCATGTCTGCGTCACGTGACGTATCGGGACTTTCCCCCCCCCTTTGCTAAACCGGGCGTGGGCATGGCTATCAAGTGACGCATCCGGCCCGCAGGCTGGGAGTTTGTCTTAGCATATCATTTTTACTGGGAGAAGTGGGGTGTGTTTTGTATCAGGTTGTACAAGTAAACAAGCTGAAGACTCAATGTGGCATCAGTTTCCATCAAGATCTGCATACAGATAAATGATCTTTCCCAAAACTGGATGATTAAAGATTTTCTAGTTCTTTTATCCCGGGGGGAGGCAGAGGGGTACAAAAATAAATGTAGCTTTCTGATGAACATTATACCGAAATATCTGTGGCGGAGATTAATGATGTTAATTCCTGTTGATCAGATTGGAAATTAAAGAGTAAAAAGATTTATTTGCAGTAAGCTACTGCTTTTATAGCTTTTGCACTGTGTCTCATTGATGAAAAAAGCCGATTTAAAAATATTGAATTTGTTTTTGATATTTTGGTTTTGTGGCGAGTGGGGGCTGATAATAAATTCACTCATGCTGGTCTTATTCACATAACCAATTTCCGACACGTTTAAAAATAAAAATCTTGTTACCATAATATTCTGGTTCTTATCTTGCCTATTACAATGTTTGGAATGATGGCAGCGGTGGGTTTCACATATTCTTACCACCGGTTTGCCGCGCGCATGTTCATTTTGTGCACGTCTCCCGCGCATGCACACATGGGCCTTCCGTGCATGCGCCCGGCCTTGAAAACGTGGCTAAATAGGACAGCAGCCGCAGTCGCTGCTACCGGACCGAAGCGGCTGAATACCACCTCTGAATGATGGGAGATGTACAAAGGGTACCATTTTATGAAGAGTTGGGGAAACACATAATACATTGGAATGCAATTCATATATTTATAAGTAAATTATAGAAGAAACCAACAGTCATCAAGAAAGAAAACACACTGTTGAGGCTTGAAGGTTGTTTTGTTTTAGTTAAAATTAAGTTGGGTATTGGAGGATCAATTACACATTTGCAGGTGTTCTTAATCGGTATAATAGGATAACATTTAACTATCATTTCAGTTACAAAGAATCAAATTAAATGTAATTAAATAATGCTGAGTTTACAAACAAGGAACCATAAGCAATTACCTTCCAGCAGCTTATAGATTGTACATCATGAAGTATTTATCATTGTAATGGCTTTCCAAGTGGCTGAACTACCTTTGTTTACAATCGTGGGCTTACATCAGGTCAGGTACCCTATACTTAATCAATTTTATATAAGTTGCAAATAAGAATATTGAAATAGATGATTCTGGAAAGCATGAACATTGATGTATAGCAACACAGAAAGCACAGTGAAGCTAATTACAAGTGTAATTGATCAAGTTGTGCTTTTGTGAAAGCTCCAATAGATTATGAGTTGCTTAGGAGAATGGGTCCTTTCTAAATCTTTAGTAGGCTGATGGCAGTGACCTGGCTTATTTATAATTTGTTCAATCCATGTATTTAATTTGCTTGCCATTCGGAAAGGTAAAGAAAAATAAAGTATAAGCTTCTTTCAGGTGCAAATTACTTTAGAGCAATGTTTCTCAACCCTGGCAACTTGAAAATGTGTGTGACTTCAACTCCCAGATTTCACAGCATATACCATGTTCTTGAGAAGCAAATTAAGAATAATAAAGTGCAGCTTGCCTTAATGAAGAGATGTTGGCCTACTATTTTTAAAATAGTTGTTTATATACTTAGAATGGGTAATGCTAGTTTCCAAGCATATGGGCACTACCATTGATGCTCAAAATGGCATAACTGAACATAATTGAAGAAAAAATGGCATAACTTGATGTTAAAAGACAAATCTGCATTCTCCCAAGGATATTTACAATTTACCCAAGTCAAGGATGATTATAATTCATCTCACTCAAATGTTAAACTGGCCTTGAAAGGTATCAATTTTGTGGTTCCTTTGCTTAAAGTAAAATTAGTGGATTTAGTGCCAGCCATAACATATAATTTGGCATTTATTTGAGACTTCAGGACAGAAGCACAAGTACTGGTATGTTTGTTTTCTAGTTCTTGGGTCCCTGGATTCAGGGGTGGGCTGCTGGGGGTTCGCAGGGGTTCAGGAGAACCTCTACCTAAGATTTTGTGCAGTTCAGAGAACCCCCAAATCCCAATCCTGGCTGGCCCAGCCACTCCAACTCGCCCCTCCCAGGAGCCCCCATGTGGCCCGTTTTGGATGCAGGTAAAT